TTCCTTGTTCTAGCGATTTTTTTTTGGGGGGGGGAATGGAGATGGAGATGGATGTGCCGTAATATATGCAGGGGGTTGGCATGATATAGGATGAGGATTAGATACGTGGTTCTTTGCTATCGTGCGGAGTGTGAGGTGGGGGAAGGGGAGAACGGATGGTCGGGGTTTGTGGTGGGTTGTACTAAGGGGCGGAAGCCGGGCACATGATGTCTGAGTGTTTCGGAAACACCAAAAGCGACGCGAAACGGTGTGCCTAAGAATATCGCAGACAACGGATGGAATTTGAAATTTATCCTGGATTGCTGACTTGAAATGTAAGTGACAAATATGATAATTGACGATGTCAATTTCTTTTGCAGGTATTGAGGGTAGGACCGGAAAAGTGTGCATTTGCATTCCGCTTTTCTTTGCACTCAACACTCACTTGTCTTTTTACATGGATGAAATTCCCTGGTCGTGTACCTTGATTACAATCCCACATACAGTTGTAGTATTCAAACTCACTACATGTAATCACCTTGTATTGCCAATTCGCTACAACACATCCAACATCAATACACTGGATGGCACTCCACACACCCTCAGTTGAACTTTCTTGGCCAAACACATTTTGCACAGAACAGAAACAACAGTACGAATATCGAGTTACCCATTACTTTTTATCTTCGTCGCTTACAAGTAGATACATACATCCAACCCTAAGTCAAATGTCTCCAAGCGTCTACAACAAAGACTTTCATCAACGCCGTCTCATGCCCATCATCACCTCTACCACCAACACCTCGCCATGCACCGCCCGTCTAGTCTCCAGCAGCACACCGTGTTTTGGGATAGAAAAAAAAGGAAAGAAAGAAAAAGGTATACATCGCTCAAACCATTAGAGCTGGAATTTTGTGACTTGACTTGGAAGCATTGAATGCAATTATTCGCGCATGTTGACGACACAGCGAATGCAGTCACCAGCCTTCATGTCACCAAAGGCCTGGTTGATCTTGTCGAGTGGCTGGCGGTGAGTGATGAACTCGTCGACCTTGAGGCTACCCTGCAGGTAGTCGGATACAAGGCCGGGCAGCTGGCTGCGACCCTTGACACCACCGAAAGCGCATCCCTTCCATACACGACCAGTGACAAGCTGGAAGGGGCGGGTGGAGATCTCCTGGCCGGCGGCGGCGACACCAATGATGATGGACTCTCCCCAGCCCTTGTGGCAGGCCTCGAGAGCAGCACGCATGACATTGACGTTACCCGTGCAGTCAAAGGTGTAGTCGCAACCGCCATCGGTCATCTCGATAAGCTTCTCCTGGATGCTCTGGTTACCGAGCTTGGTGGGGTTGACAAAGTGTGTGGCGCCGAACTTCTTTGACCACTCCTCCTTGGCGTCGTTGACATCGACTACGATAATCATACCAGCCTTGTTCTTGGCGGCTCCCTGAATGACTGACAAACCAACACAGCCGGCACCGAAGACGGCAACGTTGGATCCAGCCTCGACACCTCCTCGGCCGGCAGTGATGGTTGCAGCTCCGTAACCGGTGGTAATACCGCAGCCGAGCAGACAGGTGCGGTCCATGGGGGCGTTCTCGGTAATGGCGACGACAGAGATGTCGGCGACAACTGTGTATTGGGAGAAAGTGGATGTGCCCATGAAGTGGAGGAGGTCTTTGCCCTTGCACCTGAAGCGTGATGTGCCGTCAGGCATGACACCCTTTCCTTGTGTGGCACGGATCTTTCCGCAAAGGTTGGTCTTGCCGGACTTGCAGAACTTGCACTCCTTGCATTCCGGGGTGCTATATTGCTGTTAGGTGGGTTTGGGTATATGTGGGGTAGCTTGACGTACTATAGGGCAACGACGTGGTCGCCTGGCTTTACGTTGGTAACGCCCTCGCCGACTGACTCGACGTAACCGGCACCCTCGTGTCCAAGGACAATGGGGAAAGCACCCTCGGGGTCCTTGCCAGAGAGTGTGTAGGCATCTGTGTGTGTGTGCCGTTAGTTGCTGGTGTAGCAGACGAGGCCAAAGGTTTCAACATACCGGTATGGCAGACACCAGTGTAGTAGATTTGGATACGGACTTCGTGCGCGCGGGGCGGCAGGACCTCGATCTCCTCAATGGAGAGGTCCTTGCCGGCTTCCCAGGCTACTGCGGCCTATGTTTCCGTCAGCAATGATATTACTATGGTTACAGACTGTGTCGTCATCTGCCGACATCCGCTTCCGACGCGTCAGGTCCGCTAGTACCCGTGGGATTACATGCATGTTACAACACGTCTTGCGGACCCGCATGCCAAGATTCGCGGCCAGCTACGAAGACAGCTGGTGAAGAAGGCGACTGTGGTGTATGGAGGCAATTGACACTCAAACGTACCTTGCAGGTGATTGTCTGTTGAGAACAATGTCAGCTGGTGTATACAGGCGAATTGAGCAAGATGGCTAGGCGTGGCGGGACGTACCTTTCCAACGGTGTCTGCAGACATTGTGGATTGAGTGTTGAGGGTAAGTGTGTATCTTGAGAGGGAAAAGCAGCAGCAGCAACAGCAGCAGTTAAATAGCAAGAGGAGAAGAGGGGAAACACAAGCTACTCCAGCCCCGTAGAGCGGCTCCGGTAGCTTTTATTTGAAGATGTGGGGTCAGCAACGACAAGCCAGCGTCATTCCGCTGCCCCTCCAAGCCCCTCCAAGGCCCATGCCCCTCACTTGCGGGCGCGACTCGGCGCATGTCGCGCGATACTCGCCCTTTGAGGCTCAAACTCGTAGCTGGCTCGGAAATGCGTGGATGCGACACGGCCGCTGACTATTGGCCGCCGCCGTCCGGGCATCTTAGCCAGATGTGGACATGTTGGTTGTAAGGCCAGCTCGGCAGTCGCCTTGCGGAACTGCTTGCCGCTTCGGGGTGACGGACACGACGGGCCAGTGTGTAGATATGCGCCTTTCAGCAAAACCTCTCGCACACTACTGCACCCACAAACCGCCATCTTTCTTCTTTATCGGCTCTGTGGCGCGCGCGTGATGCTTCTGGACCTGATACCTACCCATCGGCTACTTGGACCAAGGAAAAGGCCACCTGCACGGAACTAGCCGGATAATAGCTACATGTCTATGCATGCAGAAAACGCAATATCTTGGTATCTTCTAACAAACTGCTAAAAATCTAGGCCTGGCAAATACACCCTGGTTGGTGCCCCTCGCCCATCAAGCAAACAAAAGAAAACGCCATATTACTATGTCCTCCACCCTGCCCTTGCTCATGCTTTTGCACTACCTGCCAGGGCCTCACTCTCTTCCTCTAGTATCCTGTCTGGTGTCGTTTGTTTGCTACTCGTCACCGACACGTCCTTGCCACCTTTACTCTTGCTTCGTAGCCTTCCCCAGCTCACCGTCCTCCTCCTGCTCTTCTCCGGTCCCTTGACTTCGTGACTCCACCTTCTCCTGACTGGTGGTCTTGTCGAATCCAAGCCTATCAAGCCGCGGATCTCAGACACTTCGGCGTGGCCCCGCGTTGTCTTCATCCTGTGTGCCCATGTGCATTCGCCATTCTCAAACAAAAACTCGCCGCCAACCTGCTTGAAGTCGCCGCCCTTGAGCGCCTTCCTGCCCGTGCTGAGGCCTTGGAATATAGACTGCACCGAGTTGATGAGAACGTTGGTCTGCATGTATTGAGGCTTGGCACCTAGGTTCAGGGTGCGCGTCATGCCTAGGTGGTCGTAGAGCTTGCGCGTTGGATCCGCGTAGATGGGGAAAGGACACCCCGTCGTCTCGGTATACATGGGTATCAGCTCAGGTCGCCCGCATCCAATAACCGTGATGAATGTCGGTGTAGGCAGGCCGAGCAGGTCGTCGGGCGTTATCGATGAGGCGAGCGTGCGCAGGTATTCCTGGCAGTTCTGCCAAGCGTTAGCCAAGTCAAAGGTAACATTGAGTTGAGACAGTGTTGCAGCTACTTACGCCGCAGAAGAAATGTCGAATGAAGATGATGAGCTGCCTCGAAGCGACATGAGGCGCTTGATAGAGTTCCTTGAACGGCCTGCTCTGGCCCTGCGCATCCAGTACCAGCATGTCCGCTACTGCACTCAGCTCCTTCTCCGTTGGTATGTCATTATTCACGTCGAGTGTGCCCTCGAATTCCTCCTGCTCCATGCCCAAAACAGGCGTTTGGCTCGATGGCGAGAACGGAGGTGTCGTGTTTTCTGCCACGTCCATTGAGGCCTTGGGATCTGCCACATGTCCAGATTGCGAGTGTGGTGGTGAGGGTACTTGTGTTGCGGGTGGTTGTGGCGCAGTCGTCATAATGGGTGGAGGAACCGAGGCAGTTGCTTTGGCTTTTGAAGTCTCCATCTTGATTGTAGTAGATGTTGACTGTAGTAGTGAGAGAAGAGGATTAAAAGTAGAAATAGAAAGCCGGTGGCGCAGCTGTGGTAGCTGCGTAGCTGGTTAGTATCCGGAAGCCAGCTGGTCCGGAGCTAGAGGGCGTTGGTCGGGGGTGTGGTGCTCTGTATACAAAGACTGAGTGTCCAAGGTTTATGGTGAACAAGCCGGGGTTTAACGAGAGACCTACTATTTTATTTATTCATTGGCCATGCGAAACACGGCCACATATGCGACACGGTTCGAGACGCTGGGTGCAGGTACACGCAACGACGTCAGCGGCTGTTGCAGCTTGCTATTGGTGTCCGCCGGGGGTGCTGGTCTTGTGCACATGGGGAATAGCGCCATTTGGGGTGGCAGTTGTGTGCATTCGTTTACTCCGAGACCACTTGTCCAACAATTGCATCTTTTCTACATGCATACACATACACAAAATGAATATCAATCCGGTGAGCCTGTGCGTTGTTGGCAGTGGAGATGCCTTGAAGCCTGACGTGTCTCAGGGTCTCCTATATCTACGCAGGGTCTGGCGCTAAGCCACGCCCCCGAGGGCGCCACTGCCATCACGACAGCCACCATCACAGCACCTTCACACACACCGCATCCAAGCAGCCACCGCATCCAAGCAGCCACCGCATCCAAGCAGCCACCGCATCCAAGCAGCCACCGCATCGTGCTTCTGCTCAGCCACTTTACTCATCCAATAGTTTGTATCTTGGTTTGTTATTCTTTTCAAATGCACCTCCACCACTTCACCCCCACCCCTACATACCATGCTCAGTCTCTCGCAAAGCCAGCTTCGTCTTGATGCGGTCTAGCACCTCTACGTAGTGCTTGTAGTTGGGGAAATCCACACCTTGGCAGTCCTTCTTCACTTGGGCAGCTTTGACAGCGGCCGCTTTAGCCATTCCAAGGTCGTTTTGGTGCTCGCAGACGAGCGCAATATCCAGGTACCTATTCAGAATCAGCCGGGAACTCCGCGAAACCTTACTAGAGCTCTTCTCGTCAAACCGATGTGAAAACCACCAGGTCGCGAGAATGGCTCATATCGTTACTTACACAGCAGCCAGTCTGGCGGTATAGTCTCCTTCGAGTCCGTGTAGTGCGGCTAGCTGAAGCAACTTGTTGACGAACTGGGGCTGCTGGAGCCCTTCCAGAAGCAAAGCGCCTCGCCACACACGCGTCTCATACTCTAGTTCCTGTAGTAGGAAGCGTCTTATGGCACTCTGGTGTGCGAAGCTTGTCTCTTCGTCTTCGTCTCCAGCGCAAGCTGGGCAGTCGCAGACGAAGCCATAGTGCTTGAGTTCGTATGACCGGGATGGCTTGTCATGGGTCATGTCGCAGTACGAAATTGTGATCTCTTCACCAGCAGCCACGTCATTCATGACATGGATTGTCTCCTTGTTAATGGATGGGTTCCAGGAAAAGCAAGCATTGGGGTTGCAAGAATGATTGAATCGTGCTGCATGTGGGAACACAGCTGCACCTTTATCCATCTCCATGCAATTTGTCTGGAAGATGCTCATCCATGTCGCTTCCTTGCCAATCCGAGCTGCGTGTTGCTCCTCAATACGCTGTCGTTCTCTTGGCTCTACGCTATCATGGATTTTGGATGGCCATTGTCTTGGATCTTGGCCATGACCAGAATGAAGCGAAAAGTAGAGCTTCTTCTGTTCCGGCGTCAATCTCGCAGCTGCATCCTCAATGTCAGATTTTAGATATGCCCCGGAAGGTATCGCCAAAAGTGGGTTGTCCTCCAAGATGCGCGTCCCTCTCGGGATCGACGCAAGCGCGAAACACCCATAACCCTTTCCAGGAATCTTTCGAACCTCGTAGTACTCGTTTCCCTCTGTGCACTGTTAGCCCCGACTAAATTACTTTTTCTCGATACTGATCTGCTCCAATACTCTTGTTGGGAATGCGATCAAGGGTTTCACTACTTACCGGGAGGTGTCGGATCAGCTCCATTGGATATCACCATCTTGGAGTTCTCACCAAGTGGAAAGTCAAGGCAGCTATGAGAGGTTTTCTAGCATCAACTACTTGCTTGCTCAAGCAGTGAGTGAGAAGGCAATTGTTTTGATGATTGTGTAGGGACTCTGCTGCACTTTAATTTGGCACACTGAGTTGTTAACTCTAGGCCTCTCTCACCCGTCCCGCCAAGTGAGAATGCCCTGATTGGTCTTACTTTCGTTGACAAATATACCCATGATCCCTGACCTACTTCGCTCTCATGATCAAGAGCCCATGTTTTATATTTTAGGCCACTCCGGAGCTGCTTTCCGGCCCATATGATCGCCTTGTAGGCTTAGTAAGGTTGGTCTATTACTATTGTGGTAGGCCACAAATATGTATATATGTGGGCCACTAGTAAGGGAGCGACCACAGGTTGGGGCTGCAAGCAAGAACTATACTATATACAGTGTAGCGGCCATCGGCATTGCTTAAGAACAGCTCAGCATTTCTTTCTTTCCTATCAACTCAGAAATAGAGCCATCTGAAGAAGAGCTTGATCATCATCCTCAGCGTCTTGCGTATATAGAATCTATACCTATCACTGCAGTAAAAGGTAAAAGCCACAAACATTCAGCAAACACTAAGATCTTACGGGCTTTCCCGCTCCCACTGCAGATTTCAATATCATCCCAAGAGACAGCAGGTATCCGCTAGTAGGCCAAACCCACACATTACGAGCTTGGCTCACTAGTTTTCGGCGCATTCAAGGATTCGCAACCGGATTTGAATTCCGAGTCCATAGAGCGTACACGTACGAGTATGTAAGTAGAGTCAGGGGATTCTGAAGCCAAGCGCGCGAGCGAAATGATTCCTTTTCTCATAGTATGTGAAGGAGAAGTCCTTCTGCTATATCACATGACACTCAAGAATAGGGACTCAATATGGATACTCTTCATACCGTCATGAAATATCAACATACCATACGCCTTGAATACACCCTGTCTACCATATCCCACATAAATCCCCATTCACGCCCTCTCTCTCTCCTTACGTTTCTTTCCTCGCATCTACCTTTTCACGTTTTACTTTGAATATTCATACTCGTTCTCAGAATCATACGGTCCACCATGGAAGTCACATTTCTGATCTTTCTTCTCTTTGGTTCCAGGCCATTTGATCATACTAGAGCCGACGCAGTGTTTCTTGCATGTCCACTTGTATTTTAGGTTGACGCAGCCGCATTTGTATTCGACTTGGTAGACTTCGCACATGTTGGCTGGTGAGTAAGGGAAGGGAAAGTATAGGGGGGTGTTAGTAGGTTTGCGTGGGTGGCGGTGGGAGAGGAAGGGAATAGGAGATATATGCAGTAAGAGTGCGTTTGCAAGGTGAATGGTGTTGTGGGTTCGCAGTCAGGGAACTTTTCATCAACGATCAGGTTGGCATTGAATGATTGAATGAGAGAAAGGTCTACATGGCTATTCTTGAATATATGAAACGTTCAATGGACAAACTTGATTGTCCGCATTGTCTAGTTCAAGCAGCAAACATTCACACGGAGATTCCGAACAACCAAAAAATCCTCAGCTCACCGCAAACTCCACTTACTGCTTCACCAACCACTCCAAAACCTTCTCCGCAATCTCTACATTATTCTTTTCCATAAAAAGCATATGTCCATTCCCCCGAATCCCCACATCAGCCAACTCCATATCCTGCACCTGCACCCCCGCCTGCCTCAAATACCCAACCGTACAATAATCATACGGCGCATGATAACTCGCCTCGGCCGTAACCAGCAACACGGGAACCTGCGCAAGATTAGCCAGCTTCTTCGCCGGCTCTGCTTGCATAATACAATCAACATGCTCCGCATCCTTGGCCGGCACAACCACTTTCTCGATCAACGAAGCGTCGGGGCCGGCAGGCGGATCATATGCGACTTCCAAATCGGTAACGCCCCAGGCCCGCGCAGGCCCAGATGCAGCGACTCGATTGATAAACGGCGGGCCAGACGGTTCAAGCGCGACGATACTTTTTGTGAGCTGCGGTCTTGCATCGCCGACACGCCAACCGTACGCACCAGCCTGGCTATGCGTGACAACATGCGCAACCCCGATTTTATCAAGCAACGCGGTATATGCCTTTGCGTTTTGCGATTCCAGAATAGTCACGTTTGTTTGGCGCTGGACTTGGGTGGCGTAGAAGGCGTCGAAGACGGGGTCCCCGACTTTACCCGTTCCTGGCCATTGCGTGTGCAGTTTGGATTGCGGCCACTGCGCGTGCGAGGAGATGGCTGTGAAGAGCGATTCTACGCGCGCGGTGCTGGCGATGTCCATAGAGCCGAGACCTGGGAACCAGGGGGAGCGGCCGCGAGAGGGCTGGTCGGTTAGGTAGACGGTGTAGCCGTGGGAGAGGAAGAAGGAGGCCCAGCCTGGACGGCCATCGGGGGTTTCGAGGAAGTTTGTGCCTGTTTGCCCGTTTCCCGCGATGAAGACGATGGGGGTGTCTTGGGTTTGGTTGCTTGGAGTGAGCTTTTCGACGTAGATCTGGTTGAGCATGTACTGTGCCGTTTCATTTCCCAGCTACATCTTTTCGTTAGAAAGGCGTGGTGTTGGGTTGGGTTTACTTTACTTACCGTGAGATTTGCATACTCGCCGCCTACATAGAAGTACTCACGACGCGATGCTACTTTCTCAACGTAACCCAATGCAGCAGCTAGAAAGTGCCCGCAAAGCACCAGCACTACGGTGCTCACGTGAAACCCTCCCATCTTGTCTTTTGATCAGAGGTTCTAGCTGGACGGTGAAGATTAGCATTGCACGACCTAGAAGGTGGGGAAGGGCCGACTGTCGTCGGTACATATGTAATCGTCTCTCAAACGAGGGCGCTTAAAAGCATCTCACTCATATTTGGCCGACCCGCTCATCTTGGCATGCGGAAATATTTGTGTGTAATCCTACGAATTTGGATTTAGGCAACACAAGATCCCATTGTATGTAGGGTAATTCGGCGCAATATTTAGCGAAAGCTGCACGTATCCAGCATGATGTTCCTGGGCCGGAATTCTATATTCCGTGTTACATATACGCTAGAGAGGCATTATTGAGCGAATTCGATTTCATATAGTTAATCCTTCTATTTAGTTGAGCCACTGAAGCTCTTCTATACAGCTCTAGGTTGGATCAGTACGTCGCTGGTAGGACACTCAGTCGGCCACCATCTGTGAGCAAAACATTTCCGTTGATATAGGCACCCGCTCTACTCGTCAGAAACAACAAAGCTCCCGCCATGTCCTTGCGGTCTCCAACCCTTTGCTGTGGAAGGAATTCTCTCGGATAAGACTCTTTGAAATTCATGTCAGCAGTGATCTCGCTTGGGTACACTGCATAATGTTAGTGTATTGCAAAGACAGCTCATCAGGTCTCGTGACACTGGCACATCTGGAATCTTCCTGGTGAGATAAAGCGAGAAATTTGTAACTTACATCCAGGTGCAAGGACGTTACAGCGGATGCCGAATGGCACTAGCCTAGTGGCGAGCTGCTTCGTGATGTGTATAACTGCTGCTTTTGAGCCCGCATATGCGAACCCCGACATGAGAACACGACTGAATGCCCCAGCACTACTGACACAGATGAACTGGCTATCTTGCTCGACATTCTTAGCCTTGTTGCCTTTGTCAAGCAACTCAAGGAAAGCGATAGCAGTGAAGAAGGCTCCGTTGACATTGACGTTGTATGCCTGGTTGAACTCGTCTGAGTCCCAGTTCCACAAGTAATCTTGCGTTTCCTTCAGCGTTGCATCGTCTTTTAAATAACGCATCGTTGGGCCAATGATGCCGGAGTTTGCGACTACGACGTTGACGTAGCCGGTTTTTGCAGCGATATGTTCGGCCGCTGCGGCAAGATCCGGTTTCGAGGTTACATCTGCTTTGAAGTAATGGATGTTGCCATGTTTCTACACATACCAGTCAGTGAATTTGATAATAATTGCTAGTGATGTTGGATCGCCGATGAATTCAGAGACGGAAGAAAACAGACATGAAGGTGCAACAAGAAGCAGCATCCAATTGTGAAACAAGAAGACTTACCGCTGTAGCTGTAGCCTCTTTCAAAACCTCCTCTCGTCGTCCAAGGATATATACGATTGCACCATTAGCCTCTAGGGCTTGAGCAATCATCAGACCGATACCTTTGGATTGGTCAGTCCAGCAAATGACTCAACAGCCCAGGAGCATTACCTGTGCCTCCGCCAGTGACCACGGCCACCAAGCCTTTGACATTGAAGAGGTTGCCCGCGTCGATATCAGCCATTGTGATGTATGCTAGCTCAGGAACGAGATTGGCCTATTATTGTACACGGTACAAATATTGAAGAGGCTCAGTTAAAAGTGCGGGAGGAATCGGATGCAGATCATGCGGCTGCGCGCTACTACTAGTACTAGATGACATGTTTCGCCTGCTGTTGATAAGGCCGAGAGATACCCCGTGCCAGCGCATCCGACTTTGCACCCTAGATCCTCACCATGTCTCATCACATGATATCATAATGCTCGTATAAGGATAACTGCACCAGACTTGCTGTGATGTACTACGAAGCTGCCAGACACAAATAGGTATCTGCAAATGCCACTCCCTAGATAGTGAGTGATGTACCAGGCCGACTACGTCGAATACGCATCAGTTTTTGACAGTAGCTATTCGATTTGTCAAAGGTAAGTAGATGAATTACGCCACACTGATACTGGGCGTGTCTCTAATTCATGTCACAATACACCACTCTGACTACAGGTGTGATTGCTCAAGTACTCAAAGCAGGCGCTCTTGAGTACCGAAGTCTCCATTGGGGTATAAATTCTAGGATATCCAAAGTAAAACCATCGTCTTGGATATTCGTAGCATACAGCCCAGTCTAAATGGGCGCCACTCTAAGCTATGTAGTCTGAAGATTAGAAGTAGTGTATGCTTGAGATGCGGGGTGAGAGTGCGGGCATAGCCCGTACGGATCCGCCTCACTGTTACATGTCGGGCACCTGGAACAGGCCAGAAAGAAAATAGCGATATATCATCTGATACCGGTTCATTCTTGTTGGTGTTGAGGTGTTGCAGCGTGCGGGAGCCATCCAAGGACCGAGGTTCGGGCTAGTGAACCCCACGGATGCGAGCTATCTCCGTGTGGGGTAACACCTAAATGGGTAATGCGGGCTGCGCGTATCTGCCTCGGTGGCCCAACGCACCGCCACCTTGTCAACACTTGCTCGGCTTCTCTTTCATCCTCTTTGCCGTTCTCTTAATTACAGGGTATTTGTTTATTCATGCCTTGATTGGCAGCATCTGATCTATTTCTCCCATCTCTCAAACCACCATGGGCCTTTCCCCAATTGAGCAGCTACCCGTCGAGCTCCTGCAGCACATATTCATTGAATCAGGCTGCAGCCTTACGCTGCTGCAAACAGCTCCATATATTGCGACACGACTCTCGTCCGAATACATCTACAACTGCACTTGCGACTACTATCTGACTGAGGTGCATGGCGAGCATGGCAAGCAGTCCGCCGCGCAGACCTACATCTTTGCTTCCAAGTGGATGACATGGGACTTCTTCAAGTCATGGTGTCTGCGGCGGTTCGGTCCTCAAGGTTGCTTGTGTGATCGCAAACCAGAGGAGGGCTGCTTCGATGCACAGTGGCCCCCAAACTTCTATGATGCGACGACAATGGTCTTTTCACGAAGCCATTTGCCGCGTCTTGCTTTTGTCAAAGGCCGGCTACCAAGAAAATTGCTGCAAGGCCCATGGTCTCAGGACAAGATCGAGTTTCTGCGATTCTTGTTATGGACTACAAGCATGAACGTTGATTGGTGTAACCCCGAGATGGCCCAATTAGCCGTCCAAGGCAGGCTCCAGGCGATCAAGGAACGGAATCTGGAGGCAGTAGAGCTGTTTAATAACAATCGGCGACTAGGTAAACCACCCAGCTTGCAAACAGTGCATTTTGCTGTCGTAGAAGCTGGTTGCGATCGCTCCATCGTGTACGATACGTTGGAGGGAGCGAATATGTGGAATCGTAGTACTGATTCCCATTATGCTGAAGCATTGCACAAATGGTGTGACGAGCAAGTAGCGGCTGGTAGTCGGAAAGGCTTGTGGTTGCGAAAAAAGTTGGAAGAGTCCCTGGTTCTTAGAAAAGGGGACATCGCAAATAAATACGACCCAGGGAAGACGTATCCGCGAAAGTCATGTCTGACTACTGAGACTGAGGACTATGATGGTGGGCCAGATGATCAGCTAGTCGTCAATGAACTCGAGTGGAATAAGGTACGTTGGTATTTCTTTTTCCCGCCATTACAATGTCCACATTCCTCCACGATGGAGCGTTCCACATATCTCCAACATAACCCCTTGAAGTGTGGCTGCCGTATAGAAAAGGCAGTAATATTACCAGCTTTTTCAACCCTGAAAGCCGTTGGTATCATATCGCGAAAAAAATGGAGTTATAGTCCCTTAGTTTCCTGTCTGGAAATTGCGCTTAGAGCTAAATATGCTCTAGGTGATACCACAGCGAGGATGGCTCATTGCAAGAGCTACGGGCTACAACTACCAGACTATCAATCATAACCTTAGCTGGCCTGAGATCACTCGGAATCCCGGATATCGCATGTATCGAGGCCCCAACTCACCTCGTCGATTACAATGCTGGGTAGAGCACAGCGGAGCGTCACGGATCATTGACTTATGGTTAAGTCCACCTGCTTCGCGCGAAAGCACGCCTGAGCTTCGCCAACGCCGGACCTCGTTTAAGTACACGTCTTGAATTAGGACGATACGGGTGACGGGAAGTGATCGAGCAAAAATATATTGTGCTCGTTTATTGGGTACGATGGCTTAAAGCACAATCGACTCCGACCTCGCATCTACACCAAAACCTCGACACAACAATCCAGCTTTTCGTCATGTATATTTGTTCCTTTGCATCGCAACTCTTGCCCCATTAATGCCCAACCATCTTGACTTTCTTTTCACAGTCCAGCGAACATTCTGCTAACACTGCACTATAGTCCTATATTCTATTTGGCTGGTTCAGAGTTTCACCATTCCGAAGCACGGGGATTCACGGTGTCACAAGATCTGATCTCGGAGATTACTGGGTGCATATCTATGGTCAGCGCCGCATATGTAGGGGAAGCTACAGACCCACACCCACGGATGGACACAATTTCTGGCTGGATATGTGGGTCACGCAGACCAAGCAGCAGACACATCCGCGGGGCGAGTGAGCAGTGAATTTATGTCTTATTTCCAATTCAGGATCCAAGAATCGGGCAAGCTGGTATGATGAAGTATGTGTTGCCTGGATTTTCTGGCCCAAAAAACATGTGGAACCACACTACAACTTGCTCTTCGCCTCACGACTAACAAAACCACAAACTAGCTTGATTCGGACCATTTCAACCGTACCCGTCTTGTTTCCCGCGACCACCCTTTGGAATTCTCTATATGCGTCGTCATCTTGCAGTACACCCTCCATGCGCATACACTTCGCCTCTTTATCTTCCGATACCAGCATTGCACCAAGCCCCTTTACATCAACTACGGCCTTCTCAAAGACTCCCTCCCAGTCTCTCTTTGGCGCTACAGACTGATTGGGCTTCGAAGGGACGTTCAGCAGAGCAATAACAGGGGTTGAAGAAATGGATAATGTTGAACCCAGCATCGTTTTATTTACAATAGGACAAGGATGTACTTCAGGGGGTTGAGCGAGAACCTCTCCGGCGGAGAATAGTTGAATGAGGTCTTGTACGGGTTTGGTAGTCATATGTGCATCACTTGCCGCTTGGTTCGCGTATCTGATCCTTATCAGCATGTCCTACAATATCGGTACACCTAGAAAGAAACAGACTCTTCGATCATGTAAATCTCCTTTTCTGCCTGATCATCGTATGGCAGGGCGCACACGTATTGCAACACCTCGGGCTCGTTCGGCGTTGTGTAGTCGATGATCTTCTGAAAGTATTCGATGGCCTTTTGCCGGGCTTGTGCGTCTTTGCATACGAGTCTTGCAGTTGTAAGTATAGATGCCATTTTTCAAGTAATATATCAATCACTACAAGAAATAACTTTTGTCCGGATCCAGCGGGCTTTATAAAGCATACCAACCCCGCAGGCTCGGAACTGGGAGTCCGAGACTTCGGAATAGGTGACCCGTACCTGCATTCACGCTGCGTGGCTGACATGCCAATGGCTCAAGGCTTCACACGTGACATTCTCCACCAAAGGGTATGCTGCTATGATTTGCTGTTAACATACCTCTAAACACGATATGCGCCAAAGACAGACCCTCGCGTCACCACGTGAGCTCGCGTATCCTGACGTCACCAACCCATTACCCTTGCACACCAGACGCGCCTTCTTTCGTACCCATTTAGCCTTTCAACTTCCCAAAGCTTACCCAAACATCCCATGTCCCTCCCCCGCTACATCCGCTCTCTCCATCCACCCTTCTCCATCCCATGGCGCACATACTCCTCACTCAATCGTAAAAGCAGCATACCATTCAACTTCTTCTCCGGTTTCACCGCCGCCACCATGGCCTCCGCATCTCCAAACAACTCCTTCCCTTCAACACCATACGCCCCGAAATACGATAAATGGCCGTACATTGCCTCGGACTTTCAGCGCTACGACGAGAACCCAGATGGTGACTTCTACCAGCAACCACGGCTAGTTACGCATATTGACGGCCCGGCTATCGCACGCTTGACACAATATTACGACACCGTTTTGCCCCGGAAGGGGGAGGTGCTGGATATGTGTACGAGTTGGAAATCGTTTTATCCATCGTCTGTCAAAGAAGCGATTCAGAAGGGCGAGCTAAAAGTCTATGGTGTGGGTCTGAACAGAGAGGAGATGGCGCTGAATGGGTGTTTCCTGGGCAAGGAGGAGAGGTGGAGGGTACTGGATTTGAATGCGCCACCGCATGATGTTAGAGCAGGGTGGGAAGGCAACGACTTGCATTTTGATGCTACGACATGTGTGGTTAGTATTGATTATTTGAACGAGCCGCTGGAGGTTTGTAGGAAGTTGCTTGAGGCGACTAAAGAGGGAGGAACGGTGCATTTGGTTATTAGTAACCGGTGCTTTCCGAATAAAGTTGTTGGGAGGTGGTTGATGTTGGATGAGCCATCGAGGCTGGAGTTTGTGGGAGGTAAGTTGTGTCGTGATGCTTTGGGTGTTGGGGTATTTGCTGACTTTGTAGATTATCTTCACTTTTCCGGATGGAAAAATGTAGAGGTAGTTGATCTTTGTGCGAGAGATGAGAAGGGCATGCGAGTCACAGATGACCAAGGCACGGTTCTTACACGCTCACCACATCTCCCAGACCATTTGGACCCACTATGGGTAGTTCGAGCTACGAAGCAGGCGTAGTGTCAGTCAGTCGTATAGGATAAGTGGTTGATTATTCTATAAATGTACTTTTGCGAACTTTTTTTGGCCTCCGCGAGCGAGTATCTTTTGTAGATAAAAGAAACTCAATACCACAGCGTTTTGATACAGAACTTTTGTACATACTTCACTCCTCACCCCTGCTTTGCCCACGGCTCCAGCGCATCAACCAACTTCTTCCATTTTCCCCCCTGCCATCCACAAATGCGCTCCCATTCCGGCAACGTCGCCTTGATAAACTGCAACCAACCCCCCACAATAACATCCGCGTACGTCAACTTTGAGCCCTCCAAAAACGGTCCCTGAGCCTCAAACCGCCACATCTTTGCAAACTCGTCCATGTCCGCCTCAAAAGCCTGTAAAACCTTCTCCCTAGCCTCACCCTCGACACACAACTGATCCCAGCTCTCCACATGCAGGCGCTCCACAAACTCCCTCTTGGTCTGCTCCGCCGTCTCAGGATTCAGCGGCATGTAATTCGAGCACAATACCACATGCTTTGTAAACAGCGCATCGACGTGCGCATTGAAGACGCGGTAGACGCCAATCGTGTCTGGAGACGGGAATAGGCGTTCCCCGCTATCTGCGTACGTGCGGTCGAGGTACACGGCTATGTCGAAGGAGTCGCCGATCCAGGCGTCGCCGTCGGAAGGGTTGGGGTCCCGGACCATGGGGAGGGTGTAGAAGTCGCCGCTGTCTGGGAACTTGCGCACAGGGGCGACGCCATGTGCGAGACGGGTGGATTTTACGTCGGGGAGTTCGACCCAGTTGGTTTTGTAGGGGAGGGCTTTGACGTTGAGTGTGTAGCTGAATTGTTTGTTAGGTTTGCACTTTCTTTTGCTTTTGCTTTCTCATTGGAAGAAGGAGGGCGAAGCTGGAAACAACGAACCGTGTTTTCCAGGGGTTCGGGGCGTAGCATCGTTTTGGAGGACCAGATGCTATGTCGAAGAATTCAATTGGGGATTCCGGTGGTGCCATTTTGTCTGGGTTGTTGGTCTGTGTGATGTTGCTGGTTTCGAGGAAGCTTGTCATGTGAAGATGAGGTGCTGAGAAACAGTACTGTCTGTGGGATGGTAGTTTGGTCTTATGTATACATGTGTGTGCTTCTGTGCTGGCCAAGAAACCATAGCATATAGTTACGTCGTTAGGCGTCCACAGGCCAATCAATTGGACATGGGATGAGTCGATATGATATATGCGGATTTCATGTAGACTAGTGGGGCAAGGCGAACCGACGCTAATCTCGTGCAGACGCTTTGTACAACACCTTCTTAGTTTGCGAAGGCGTAAACTAGCATAGAAACCGGAGTTCGGCAAGGACTGCAGTCTTGTGCACACGGTTTGGTTTAGTGTAGTCGCTTATTTGCAGCATTTTGTGGGCCATTATCGTTGTTGAGCAAAGATGAGTTGTTGTGGCTGTGCTTTTTGTACGACGGAAAGGGGTTGGTGGGAACATAATCACAAGCTCAATCTGCTGAACTCCTCTTAGTGCACAACCACCGCTCTTGGCGAGAATCTGCCTCATTTGTACAACATGTATCGCTGATTACTTGCGTATCCGTCAAAACCTATGCTTCAATAACTTCCCGCAACGCCTTTGCACTCTTCTCTAACAGCTCCTTCTCCTCGCTGCTCAATGGCATCGGCACACTCCTTACAATTCCTCTTCTCCCCAAAACTGCCGGCACACTCAGACAAACGTCCAAACCATCCTGATAATGGCTAACTGGCCGGATGTTCCTCTGGTCGAAAAGTATAGACTTGCAGATACTGGCTGCGACACCACCGATGCCATAATTGGTCGCACCCTTACTTTTGATAATATTTGTCGCTTTATTTTTGGTTTCTTGTGCAATGGCCTTTTTATCGATACTCTGCTTCGATTCAACTACTTTATCGAGAGGTACGCCCCCAATGCTAGCAAGGCTCCAGGCGACAAATTGAGATTCGCCGTGCTCGCCCAATACGTAAGCATCAATACTGGATGCTGCGACCTCAGCTTTCAGAGCGAGGATGCCACGGAGACGCGCTGAGTCAAGAAAAGTACCGGAGCCGATGACTTGCTGTTTGGGAAGCCCAGAAAATTGTTGGGCGAAGTAAGTAAGTACATCGACAGGGTTGGCGACGAGAAGCAGGACGGTATCTGGTCGAAAAGGTTTCATATCGCTAATAGCAGATTCGAGGATAGATTTGTTGCGGCCGATGAGGTCGGTTCGGCTCTCACCTGTGCATTGATGAGTTCCTGGAGCCTCGCCGATGTTTCTCTATGCTCAGTTGATGTGTACCTTTCTTTTGCTTTGCGCCGGCGGTTATGACGACAACATCGCACTGCCCGGCTTCTTTGTGTGTTCCTGATCTTATGCGCGTTGTGGTGTTTCCATGAAACGTGGCATCAGAAAGGTCTTGTACTTGAGCATCGCGGACTTCTTCTTTTGGATCCACTATCAAGATGTCACCCGCAACCGGGTCCATAATCAGCGAGTAGGCAATGGTAGCACCTACATCGCCGGCACCAAGAATAGCGATCTGTGAGGTGAGTTTCGGATCTTGAGACATAGTAACAAAAGGGAAGTGTAAGATTCAAAAGGAAACGCAGTGGTGGGATTAATGAGTACCTTTTAGCTTGATGATTCTTCTATTAAACCAGCTTATGACCTACGTCATTCTAATGGCGCTAGTGTCCATGCTATCCGCAGATAGCCCTGTAACATTTTGTTTGCTCGTTATACATCACTGCATGACGCCACGCCCCATTGCATGCCTTCCGTGAAGCTGTAGCAATGTCGAGCGGCCCATGGCAGACGGATCAGCCTGCCTTTTAGGCTTACACGTATTCGACATTGCTGGAGATCCGTCTCGTGCGTCGTGTAGACCTTCGAGGTGGGCACTGTGGTTTTTTCCGAGCTAGCTAGTAGATGTCTTAGTATGAGATACGGAGTTCGTATGCAAAACTGAAGAAAGCATCGCGAAGGTCAAGTACATTCACGATACCTTGGGTGAAGTGGTTGCGGCTGGTGCAGCTGTCTTCTTCTTCCGGGGCTGTGTCGAAAGACCTTTCTTGAGCAGCAAGGGTATGACATCGGAGGGCTTATTGCGACTGATTGTCTTTCGACACACGGGACATTGTGAACGTTTGGTCTCGTGAGGACCTGTGCGGTTCTCGCCGGCAATGAGAGCTTCCATGAGGCAGGTGTGGCAGAACAGATGACCTGTTGGGAATCAGTACCATTTCAATATCCGTGTATGCAGAGCAGTAGGACATACCACATGCTGTAGCTGTGAGGTCGGTAGGATTATCCATGCAGATGACGCAATTAAAGGAGTTGAATGTAGTAAACGTCTCGTCGGGCCTGGCTTGCGCCTTGACGACATCCTCGCGTTGCTTCTGCAGGACCTGTTGGACTGATGAATTCTCAGTCAAATCGACTTCTTCCACCGTGACAGGCTCCACGCTCTGCTGCTTAGCCTCCTTGGCCGTGCCGTCTTCTCTCTTGCGCCGCTTTGCTGAGGGGCCGGGCGTAGGCGACTGTCTCTTCCTTGTACGAGGGGGCGAGTCTGGAGCGCCGGTCAGGTCTACATAGCCATTTGCCAGGCGGTCAGGTCGCTGTGAAGCCTGTGACCCTTGTGGATGTGCTCGCGTGGTAGGGGGCATCTCTGGTTGTAGAGGGCGGTAGGGTCGCCAGTCAAACGGGGAGTATCTGCCGTGGTCGAGGCCGGCCGGGTTAAGGATATGGTCAAAGAAACCAGTGCTGAAGGGGAGATGCGGAGCGCGATAGGGCTCCTCGGACTGGCGGTCGGCGGCTGTGGCGGCTGTGGCGGCTGCAGTAGCGGCGTATTCGTCGTCAAAGAAGGCGTCGATGCCTGAGGGTGAAGGTGAAGGCGAGGCGCGACGGTCCGGATTGTCAGGCGTGTGGAACGAATGTGTTGGTGAGGCGATGTCATTGTCATTGTCGTTGTCTAAGTGGGCGTAGTCGGCCGACATGGTGGCGCAGGCGTCGACCTACTGGGCGGCAGCGGTAGTGGCGGCAGCAACAGCAGCAGCCTTTTCCTTCACCGACAGGATCGCAAGGCCAGCAAGGGGCCTGGGCATGGTGTCGCAGAGGCCGCCGAGTCGGGCGTGCTGCACAGCGAGAGATGGGCGAACGGGGGTGCATGCAGTGGTCCGCCCGCGTAGGGCTGAGAGGCTGAGAGGCTGTGGCGCAGGCAACGCCAAGCATGAGAATAGTTTGGTCGGGCCTCAGCACCATGACGACACAATCCGGCATTCTAGCACTGCACTGCACAAAACTTCTCGTGACACGGCCTGAATGCGACGAAATGCAGCAATGCGCTTGATAGACGTGCGATGATGCGCTGCTCAGGACGGCCGTTGACCGCCACTACCACTGCCCGCCGGTCCTGTCCTTTTGCTGCGCAAACGCCTGCTGCAAATCCCCCACTGCGACGATGCCTTGCCACAGCCCCGCCACCATCCAGTCGCAAGGACAGCACCACCAAGAAGACCAGTCTCAATGGTATGCCATTGCCGCGATGCGAGGCCATTTCGTACACACTAACACTTTGCAGTTCCTTCGGAAGCCCGCTTCAGTCCCATTGGCGTTCAGCATCTTTCTTCCCATATCCACCACCAAATCTTTCCTGGCGCAGAAACCAAACCCCCACCTGAACTCATAGCCCTCTCCAAGGATCACCTTACCCGCCATGATTTGCTGGGGAAGAACCAGGATCAGAGCCCGCCTGTCGGGTTCGATATGCCCGAGCTGCAGGGCACGACACTGGACGAGCACTTCTACAAGCTAGGCATGGACGCTGCTGAACCATACTTGGGCATGGCAAAGAAGCTAGTATGGGCAAACCCACCACCAAGGCCAAAGCAATGGGTGCGCCAGAGCGGCTGGACCAAGTACAACAGTGACGGGACGACAGAAGCAGTGCAAGTGCCAGACGAGACGATGCTCGTTTTCGATACCGAAGTCATGTGGAAAGAGACATCATTTGCGTGCATGGCGTGCGCCGCCAGTCCGACAGCGTGGTATGCTTGGTTATCGCCCTGGCTGTTAGGAGAGTCAGAGTCCGATCGACATCTCATTCCCTTTGGAGACACATCGACACCGCGTGTCATTGTAGGCCACAACATAGGGTATGATAGGGCTCGCATAGCAGAAGAGTACAACATATCACAGTCCAAAAACGCTTTTGTTGATACCATGTCGTTGCATGTTGCTTCCAATGGCATGTGCTCACGGCAACGTCCCTCCTGGATGAAACACCAGAAAAGCAGAGAGCAGCGCGATAAGACGGCTACTGCTGATGAGAATGCAGATTTGTCCTCGGTGCTGAATCCGGACATAATGCCGGATGAAGAAGAGCTTTGGATGGGAAGGAGTGCAATCAACTCGCTACGGGACGTAGCCCAGTTTCATTGCAACATCACCATAGACAAGGCAAAGAGAGAATACTTTGGCGAACTTGACCGCGCAGGCGTGCGTGATATGCTGGATGAGCTGCTCGACTATTGCGCTGCCGATGTGGAAATCACTCATCGTGTCTATCAGAAGGTTTTCCCACTCTTCCTCGAAACGTGTCCGCACCCGGTCAGCTTTGCTGCACTGCGCTTTTTGGCTGCCGAAATACTACCAGTCAACGAGACCTGGGATGCTTACATCAACAACGCAGAGGCAACGTACCATAAACTGGACAATGGAGTGAAAGAAAGGTTGGTTGCGCTTACAGAAAAGGCACTGGAGGTCAAAGATCAACCGGATGTGTACAATAACGACCCTTGGTTAAGTCAGCTGGACTGGTCAGGCCAGGAAGTGAAGATGGTCAAAGGAAAGAAGAAGGGTGACCCGCCTCGACCTGCAGCGCGACAGAAGAAGCCGGGCATGCCCAAGTGGTACAAAGATCTTTTTACCAAGAACGATGGTCCCATGAATCTTACCGTGCGAACTCGATTGACGCCAATATTGCTAAGGCTGGCTTGGGATGGCAACCCTCTAGTATGGTCAGACAAGTACGGGTGGACGTACCGAGTGCCTATGGATGAAGTGTTTGCCTACAACGAAAAGGGAATCAAGGAGTTGGACATGTCTCAAGAAGAAAACCTGAAGTTGCGTGACGATACTGCGCATGTGTATTACAAGATCCCACACAAGGATGGTCCGCTTGCAAGATGTACAAACCCGCTTGCCAAGGGTTATCTACAATATTTTGAAAAGGGCAAGCTAGGCTCCGAGTATGCCTACGCCAAGGAAGCATTGGAGATGAATGCTTCATGTTCATACTGGATCAGCGCAAGAGATCGAATCATGTCGCAAATGGTTGTGTACGACAGGGAAGCAACCAATGCACCCAGACTTGTATCTTCCTCTGGCAAGACGGGAGGCAAGGTTGGGTTCATACTGCCGCAAATCATACCTATGGGTACCATTACGAGGCGCTCGGTTGAGAATACATGGCTGACTGCGAGCAATGCGAAGAAGAACCGGGTTGGGTCCGAATTGAAATCGATGGTACGAGCACCCAAGGGATACTGCTTTGTCGGAGCCGATGTCGATTCACAGGAGCTATGGATTGCTAGCTTGATCGGTGACGCAACTTTCAAGCTGCACGGTGGTAATGCGGTTGGTTTCATGACACTAGAGGGGACCAAGGCGGCAGGCACCGACCTGCATTCACGAACAGCGTCCATCCTAGGCATCTCGAGGAACGATGCCAAAGTGTTCAACTACGGTCGCATATACGGTGCTGGCCTGCAATTCGCCTCTACACTGCTGCGGCAGTTCAACCCCTCGTTGACAGACACCGAAACGTCCAAGACGGCAAATGATTTGTATCAAAACACAAAGGGCAAGAAGACGACGCGGAAGGTGCTACGTGAAAGACCGTTTTGGCGGGGAGGTACGGAATCATTTGTCTTCAACAGACTAGAAGACTTTGCAGAACAGGAGAGGCCTAGGACGCCAGTGCTTGGGGCTGCCATTACGGAAGCGCTGCAGAGACGGTATCTTTCCAAAGGCGGCTTCATGACTTCACGGATCAACTGGGCTATCCAATCTTCTGGGGTCGACTATCTCCACCTCCTTATTGTATCCATGGACTACCTCACGCGTCGGTACAATCTTGACTGCCGACTAGCTATCACGGTACATGACGAGATTCGGTACCTGGTGAAGGACAAGGACAAGTACAAGGCAGCCATGGCGCTCCAGGTGGCGAATGTATGGACGCGAGCCATGTTTGCACAGCAAATGGGCATCAATGAGCTTCCACAGTCGTGTGCGTATTTCTCAGCAGTGGACATTGACCATGTGCTGAGAAAGGAAGTGGACATGGACTGCATTACGCCGAGCAACAAGGAGGCAATACCTCACGGGGAGAGCCTTGATATCATGGCACTGCTTGATAAAGGTACAGCAGCACAGTTGAAATCATCGACAAAGTCAAAGGATCCACCGGCACCGCAGCAATACACACACGCCTTTACACCGCGTACGCCAATTATCAACACGCTGTCGGGGTCTGACAGTGCATCGCCCATGGCGCTTGCTTATATCAAGGCGCAAATCACATCGTCGGACCAGGAGCTGTTGGAGATTACGAGAGGGCTACGGGCGCCGGCTGCTAAGCGGACAAAGGCGTCGATTGAAAAGGAAGAAAAGGAAGCGGCGGAGCAACTCCAAAATTACGAGCCAATAAATCATTACCTGGATGTCAAAGAGTGGTGGGGGCGTGGTCAGGAAGCAACAGGTAGCGGAGAAAAGAGCAGGAAGAGGCAAGAGTGGGTGAGCCAGTATGCATCGTCTCGCAGCGCGCCTACGGTGAGGGCAGACAGGTTGTAAGGTGCCGTGCATGTATAGTTGGCACTAGCGGCTGTTGTTCCCTTTGTTTTGATGTATATTTTCTTCTTCTTTTGTATATGACTTGTTGTATGATATGGTCACGAGGGTGATATGTAAGAAAAAATTGGAAGTAGGTAGTTATGGGTGCATGGATCGGGGGTGGATCGGGGGCGGAGTCTCGTCATGCATTTACAAGGCGCATAAACTACCTTTTAATGAAGGCGCTAGCAACGTGTTGGCAACGCGGAGTATTTCTTGTTTGTTTATTTGTTTACGCAGATAGTGAGCTGATGGCGAAGAGTGACGACCAGATTCTGACCGCTCCTGGCTACGAGGATAGGGCCTGGTGACACGTGGGCGGAATGTCGTGTGAGGTGTGGGAGAGGTGTGGGATGTGTGGGAGGAGTGGGATGGGATGGCATGTCGGAGCAATCATTCCACCGACGGCAGACCATGGGATGATCCCACGCAGTGACCAACAACTGCATGGCTGATATTTGTCGCGCAGCCCGGAAACATGGGATCTGGATTGCGAAGAGTAGACTATGCTGACACCATACTATGTGCTACGTAGTACTACAGCAGACTACCGTAGTATGTAGTATTGTTGAGGCTGAGGCAGTGCATAGCGACCAGCCAGCCAGAGCAAAGAAAGAAGCTATTTTCTCGGTAGATTCGTCTAGAAGGGCCGGCATCCGTGGCGTGCCGATGCGATTGGGGGGACGAGCAGGGTCCCCTTTTTTAGCCCTTGAATGCATCTGCATCACGCTGGTGCCGGGCAAATTACGGGTGAAAGAGGCTCAACCTTAGTCTTGCATTCGCTGGGTACATGGCAGTACATGTCCAGCCTGTATGTGTTGTTTACAAAAGAAAAAAGCACAAGACACGGTGTTTTTGCCGCAGACAAAAAAAGGCCAGGGGGCTTTTTTAGCTGATAGGCAGACTTGCAACATGAAAGCGGTTAGAAGCTGAGGATTCAAAGGTCCATGCTCCCCCGCAACCCCAAGTTTCTTGGGCGGTGGATTTCTATTTTTCCATTTCCAAGTTCCGCCAAGTATCCCTGTCCCCCCATTTTAACCCCCCTGGCACGGATCGCTCACCGCCCACGTTTGCCCCTAAAGTTTCTGCTCGCCGCCTTGTCGGCCTCGCCTCCTTTACCTTTTTTCGCCCCGTCCGTCCCCCTTCACAGGCAAGGACCCACTGCAATCCTCGTTTTGTTGGGGTCCCACTTTCTTTATATAAACGTTTTTTTGCTCACTCACCTTTTTTTTGCCCGTCACTTGAGTTCCCCCCCCTACACACACAGTCACTCATCAATAGATAAGACAAAGTCGTTGTACTTTCGTTTCAAACGGACTCTACTTCTTCAAGTTTTCAACTTCTTTCGAGCAAATCATTCACGACGAGACTCGTTCGCTTCTACTAGTCATACGTGGCCCCCGTTTATATATATATATATAAACACTCGCTCTTCTACACCAAACCACCAAAACAACACCCCAATAAATCCAACCATGTTCGCCCGCATCGCCACCCGCGCCCCTATCACTGCTGCCTTCGCAGCCAAGCGCGTCACTCCCGCCGTGCGCTTCAACTCCTCCAGCTCCTCCAGCAGCGCTGCCCGCATGATGGAAATGGCCGCCCAAGCCGAGCGACCCAGTACGTTATCTTTCACTCTTCAAACACCACCACCCGGTCATCTATTCTAACTCGTTCCTCTCACAGACGCCACCGAAGCCGCCGTCCCCGTCATGTGGGCTCTCTGCGGCGCCCTCACCTTCGCCGCCTGGAACCGCGTCAGCGAGCGCAACCCTAGTCACGAGGTCGAGAAGCTCCTGATTGTCTAAGGACAGTCTACGACTACGAAATATTGACGACATAACTACGATACTACTACTACTACTTCTTCTTCTACGATACCCCCCCCGACATACCACACCTACCTACCGGATTTTTGTCGTCATACATTCACACACCTCTACCTCTTTTCTTCTTCTTTCCTCGACTCGGATGGACGTCTGTCTTTTTTTCCTCCTTCAACTTGTAAACAATTTTCTATTCTCTCTTGGTCTGCTTCTCACATCTTCTTTTTTTTTGGGAGAGCGATGGAAAGGGGAATAGAAATTAGACGGTTCGAAATGTGGTAGAGCATTTTTCTTTTCAAAAAAAAAAGATTTGCTTTGCTGGCTAAGTAGTCAGGATTTTTCTTTTTCTTGTTCGAGTAGATAGAGGGTCTCTTCTCTTTGTTTTGGTAATTCAAATGGTTAACTCTACTTCAAGTTCGATATGACTCAGTGCTTTGTTTCATGTTGTGATGACTCTGTGTATATCTGTTGCTCATATATATTCTAACGATATCGAATCGCATAACATGCATTGTACTCGCTTGTTGTATTCGCCCATATCCAATATACCATACGTATGTAAAAACTACCATCGAGTATACCACTCTTCCATAAAACGTACCAGCCAGTCGAAATACCCCATATCCACATTTCTCATCCCAGCAATGCAAAAGAAGCAAAGAATTAAACATGCCACTATGCCAGAATTCTAAATTACATTCTCATATAAAAAACACCGCCACCACCTGTTCCATTCAATCATTCAACAAGACCACGTGCTTGCAACGAATGTAACGAAGAAGAAAAAAGAACCCACCTCCTTTTTTTGGCCTTCATTAAGTTGCCATTCTTCCCGCACACCAAACCTCGTCATCTTCAACCGCAAGAAAAAAGACACCCCCTTCGTCACCATTAAATACCCTTTAATCCCCCACAAACCCAATCCTATTTATTCCCATCATCATCGCCATTCATATATCCCCTTTCCATGCGCAAAATCAATGCTTCCCACTCTTCCGTTGCTTAACCCTCGACCCAATTGAATCCTGCTCCACCGCCACCGGATGCGCCGGAGCAGGCGTAACAGGCGCCATCTGCTCCACCTTCTCCATCTGCGACTTCGTCTCCTTGTCCGCACCATCCTCCTTGATCAACTTCTCCTTTGCCTCCGTCTCATCATCCGTCGGCTCGTACTCGCTACGATCATCCTCCATATCCTTGTACACCGCAAAGCGGTATGCAATCCTGCAAATCAAGAAGCCCCAGAACAGGTTGACGGCTTGTAGGGAAGCAAGGAGGCCGAAGGTGATGTATTGACTGATCCAGCACTTGTATTGTTGCGTTTCCCAGTTGAGTTCGAAGGGACCGACGGTTTTGAAAGTGGTGAGGATGGACCAGATGATTTTGAGGTTGATGTAGTGGCGGGCGTATCCCCAAACGAGCATGAAGACGAAGAAGTACGGCGTCACAATCGGAGAATCGATGTAGTTTAGGCATTTGGACGACTACATTTTTTATATCAGTATGTCGATTCTACAGCTTGATCACGGAAACGCAGGACTTACGGCGAGGAAAAAGTCGGAAATGTCGTGGGTAATGTACACAGCAATACCCATGTAGGTAAAGTGGAAGCGGTAGCTGAGCCAAATCAAGCTGACAGTGATGATGTGGTGCGCTACCAGTTCCTTGAAATCTTTTCTCGGCTTCTCGAGCATCAGCATGAGCACAATGGCTTGCTGGGCCCAGTAACTGGCTTGCAGTAGATAGTACGCCTTGACGACTGCCTCATGGGTTCGGTGGGGGAATCCCTCATACATGCCAGTAGTATTAAAGTACCACACCGGAGTACGCGACATGATCCATACGCCAAATGGACCGTAGATAGCAAAGTAAAGAGCAGTGTATGCTTGCTCCATGAAACGCGACTGCTTATCCCTGTTGCGGATGCCAAAGTGAAGGGCAATGGGGCGGATGAGACGCTGCATGCAAAACTCGCGGGTAAAGCTCAGGACAATGGTGTAGAAGCCGACGAAAGCGAAATCCCGTCCGCCTTTGCCATAGTGTAGGGGCGCATTGGGGTCGGCTCGCACGTGGGCGGGGATGAGGGGGTCGTCGCGTGCGAGTGGGTATGACAGGAAGAGACAGGCCGACAGCGGGTTGGACGAGTAAGGGTAGACGAGGTATAGTGATACAATGGTAAGGGTGAGGACGAGAGGGAGCAACCAGGTGTGCCGAATGCACATTCGCTTTGCCTTTGAGAGGTATCGACGTGTCGTCTTTCGTTTTGAGCGGCGTCCCGACTTGTCTGATTTCTGACAGGCTTGTCAGTTACACGTGGGGTTCCCCGTCATGGCAATTTTGTGCAGAAAAAGGGTACAACACATACCGAGTCCATGGTCACTGGGCTGTGCAGCGGAGGGGTGACAGATCGATATGTGGCCAGGGACGGGACGTCAACATCGCCAGGGACGTCAGCGCCGAGGGCACTTGATTTCCTTCGGCGCCTGGGTGCGCTTTGAGGGGCAGGATTGTGCGGCAGTCCGCCATTCAGCGGAGGAAACGGTTCCGTCATCGTGAAGCCGAAGTAATAAGCAATCGCGGGAGGGCAGCGCACAAGGGTTTGCGGGAAGGATTGGGTAAGCCCGTGATTATATATGCGAATGTAAGTACCGTCCAAACAACCACGTGCAAAGGAGACCAAGGCCGAGAGATGCTGGACGCAAGGAATGTGAGGCCGCCAGCAATCCACCGGAGTTATTATTGTGGGCACAGACGATGCAAGCAAAAGTTGTCGTCGGGCGACCGACTCCTTTCCCTGCCAATTTCCCGGCCACAAGTGGGGCCCGTGACACTCCCGCGCAATACGAAGCATCTGCGCCGATCGACTACTCCTACGCGATGCCGCCCAGGGGTAAGGTTATGTCAGCATCGGTATCGCCAAATCCTCCCTTGACAACTGCCATGCCTATGGCCCAGACACAATCGTGAGTACTTGACCTTCTGGAGCCCGGACACGAGGCCCGGACACGAGGCCCGGCCCGCAACAGTCCCGCCCGTCTACCACGAGCCATGCAAGTGCAAGGGACTTGTAGGTAATACTAGCCAAAGCACAAAGCCATGACCAGGATAATGGCCATTACTATCGGACAAAAAATCAAGGACATCGGAGACTAGCCTAATATAAAAATACAGTGATCACCGGTTTACCACCCTCGCTATGCATACCTAAACAGTCATCAGGCCTACCTCGCTACAACGTATCATACAACATGAATACGCTGCTTGCCACCCAACGCTCACTCCAACGGTCTAAGCCGACTTCCAGGATGCACATTAGTTTTGTGCTGCGGTGTCCCCATACCATGTACAGGCGTGCCATTAGCCTGCTCTAGTTTCTTCCCAGCAATCTCCAAACTCCTCTTCACTTCAATCGTGGGCGTGCCAACACTGCTCGCAGTCATGGTACTATCCATGCTTCCCTTTCGCGAGAGAACACCATCCTGTCGCAACAGGCCCTTGATTCCGCCCGCCTTGCGAGCTGGTAGTTCGCCTTTGCCGGCCGTGGCCACATACAGCAGATATTTGAGGTTTGGCAACGTGTGGCGGATGTCCAGTGGCCGCAGTCCCAGCGAGTTTGAGAGAATCTCAATGTTCTTGTTGAGAAGGAACACACCATACTCAAATCGGTACCTCACGACATTCTTCATGTAGAGGGGATAGGTACGTTGGTGGTTTTGTTGATTCTGTGAAATAGCCAGTGGATCATCAATTGTCGACGTTGACCCGTGTAACGATACCGGATACGGCAGCATGACGGACAGATAGGGCGAGAGCAAATTGACAACTTGGGCCACATAGCCCAGTGCTGCAGAAGTAACGTCTTCCTTTGCATCCTCGAAAATGGAGTTTGGCAGCAAAAGCCCCCGTATTGTAAACGTCAGAGCTTTACCAGGCACAGGCTCGATCGGGAATATTCTGAGCAAGTCTTCACACACCCTTCGTCGTTGGCCAGTAATATCTTCTAGAGTCTTTTCCAAAAGCTCTTTAGTCTGGCCAATATTGGCTCTTTGTTCAGAGATTTCACTCTCCGCTTTCAATTGCTGTTCCCTCCCAGCCTTCATCTTCTCTCGCCGGTCCAGAATGTTGGCTTGCAGCTCGTCACGTCTTCTTCGCGCAGCCGCAACACGTCGTTTTTCGGCCGTCACCGCGGCCTGCACTGTCCGCAAGCTTTCTTCCGTCTCAGCTACTGATTCCACTGTGAATATATCCTCTTTATTCGATACGAGTATACCCTCAATCTCGTCAGCAATCCGGTCTCGCGTAGTCAGTGCGTCTTGTATGCAGTCGTCGAGCGTCGATAGTCTCATGAGGGCGTCATAAGAGGAAGATGGAAGCACTCGACCATCAGGATTCTTTTTGGGCGGTGCAAGAAGTTCTGGTCGCATCCTTTGCTGCACTGGTAGGTCTGTGAAGCTAGTATAGATGCCGTCCGTCATATAGAAGAGCACACAGTTCTGTGGAAGAGGGTGTCTGAAGCCTTCAAGGGTCTTGCCAATGAACTGGAGCGACCGGAACTGTACAGTATAGTCAAGCAGGTATTGCCAGTTCTGCATCGTCTCGCTCTTAGCCCACACCCTGATTGTGAGCGTGTCCAATCGCGTGACACCCGGTCCACAGGGGCCAAGATCGAAAAACTTGAAGTTTGGGTTCATAGCCTTGTCGACGACCTCAGAAATGTAAATTGGGTCCGTCCGGTCCTCGACGTGCAGCGAGAAGAAGGTGTCGGCCATGCGCCCAGCAGTGATGTCTTCCAGCTTCTTCTGGCGAGTCAATGGGCTCGCATTGGTCCACTCCATTGTAGAGCGCCTACGCAGGCCCCTCCCGGCCACCGGCCTATTTGCTTTCTGGGGAGTCGTGGGGTCGCGCAAGCCATTGCTGCGCCGCACGGCATCGTCGGGTGAGGTGAGGTCGCTGGATGAGCGGGAATGCGCCAGGCCCCTGCTCTCACGCAATGCCAGCGCCTTTGCCGGCGACTTGAAGGTGCTGGGGACGGCTTCATCGTCAATAGTCTTTCCGCGTGGCTTTGTAGTGCTGGGGGTCAGAGTAAGGTTGCGAATGGTGATGCCTTGGAGATGCCGGAGCTTGCGGTTCTGGAGGCTTGTTAGCGACGTCAACCATAGGCAGAAGCTGTCTGACACACGTATGGCAGCAACCACGGGCGCTCGCGTGGTGGACGAGGGTCGGGCTGGCCAGCCGTCGTGAGCGGATCGCCGGCCATGTTTAGGCAGCCTGTCGCGGAGACGGGCAGGTGAGAAGTGAGTGCAGCAGCAGCAGGTGTCTCATGGGTGCATGGTGGAGGGCGAGGGAGGGCGGGGACGGCAGAGCAGGCGCATCAGCAATGGCATCGGCGCAGCCCATAATACATGTGTGTTGTAAACGTCAACGCTGACTGCGACCAGACATAGGCACGCGGAGGAGTCGCGCTGCACACGAGTCGTTGGCAATTCCGCGCAGGATCGGGCCCGTGCACCGAATCCCAATGATTCTCGCATCTTTGCTTGGGTCCATGGCATGCCCACCGTTGGCCTGTCTGCCGGCCCATTGCCTCGACCACACTCGCTGCAGTCATGCCTCGCTCACTCGCCCGGCTCCGGTATAAGCCGCCGCTGAAGCCCATCTCTTTTGCCCCCGCTGCAAAACGCACAACACCCGTCCACGAGGAATTGCTGCAGAGGCGGGTCGCCGCCTATGTCCAGCGCCAGTCAAACCCCAAGCACCTCCGCCTGCAAACGGTTGTCAATGAAAAAGCCAGACGCCAGGCGACGGGACAGCATGTGAATGCCCCCATTAAGCCCTACACCCTGCGCGACGTGGTGGACCCAGAAGGCACGGCAAATCATGGCGAAATAATCTACATTTTCCGCAACACAAAGACCAACCAGGTCATCTACTCGCTTCAAGAGTTACTAGACGTACGGCGCCCACACTGACTGCATCGATTGGCTGTTGATTATCTGCAGAACCATCACCTCGACCAATTGCCCTTCATTGGCAAGCACTCGAAGCCGCCTGCCCTGCGCCCAGACGAATGGGTCCCTCACTGTGTCGTTACCTTTCCCACCTCTGCCCAGGGCCATAGCGCCTTCCGCAAGCTGCGTGAGTTCCGGAAATTGCACGAGACTGCATGGGACAAGACGAACCCGAAAATGGTTTCTATGGATCGCAAGCAGCGCATCAAGAAGATTATGGACCAGCGGGCCAACACGAGCGCTGATCTAGCAGAGGTGCTGCGCATACAAGAAGAGCATGGCATTCAGGCTGCAGAAGAGCTGCTAAAACGTGAACAAAAGGCCACTGCTGTGCTAGACAAGCGCTGGCAGGAAATTGATGCACTAGCCAATGCGAGCTTGGCCAAGGAAAAGCCAACTGACAACGTCAAGTGGCTGCAAGGCCAAATACGATCCATGGACCTGAAGCTCAAGATGAGGCATCACCAGAGTGAAGCCGACCAGAAGAGCCTAAAGGCCACCAAGGAAGCTCTCGAGACTCGGTTAGGCAAGTTGCAATATGCAATCAGAAAAGCCGAACAGTTCAAGAAGCTGCAACAAGAACTCACAAAAAAGGCAGCGCCTGCTCAAGAGCCAGGTGCGGAGGCAAAGTTGAACGAATTAAGGTCTAAAGCCCGAGTTTTGGACGAGGCACTTCAAAACCCAGACCCTTCTCGACCCGCATCAGATCTTGAAATGGATGCTCAACTTCTCGCTCAACAGCGAAGTGAAATCGACCTTCTTGAGCAGGCTTTTGACGCAAAGGCCCAAGCAGAATCTCGCGACCACTACATTGCTCGCTCGGTTCTCCCAAAGGCCCTCAAGAAGACCCCTGTCAGACCTTACACGCTCAATGGCGTTTCGGTGCAATGGGCTGACATGCAAGACGCCCTCTATGCGGCCGGAAAGTGGCCTGATGCCATCGAGCACGAGCCTCTGGAGATCAACAGGGCGCGGGGAGAAACTCTGTTGCTCTCGGCTGAAGAGTATGAGATTGAGAAGAGCAACGATGTTGGACGGGTCATGGAAGCTCTGCAAAGTAGAGGCCAGATGCACGACGGCTTGCGGTCAAGCTTTGAGCCATCAGGTGTAGCTCCGGCACTGAAAAGTAGTATACCGACATTCTTGCCTGTACGGAATGCTTTCAAGAACGCTACAGCCTAGGGGTTGATGTAAATTATGTAGATTATTATTGTCAAATCTACCAAGGATTTCGGATACACACCGTGATATTTTTAAGTCCATATGATTAGTGCCCGCCCAACCATTCCTTTGCAAACTGACTTGAACTTATTTTGCATCTGTTTCGGCAGACTCCACTGCTTTCTGCTCGCCCGCTGTAACTTCTTCCTCCTTCAACTTGAGCTGGAGTTTCTCTAGCCGCTCTAGCAAAATCTTCTCCTTCTCTTTGAACCTCTTCTCAAACTCTTCGTCATCTTCATTGCTGAACTCGAGAGCGGTAGGTGTCTTATCTCCTTCTCCCCCAGTTTCCTCTCCGCTTCCTTCTTCCGTACTCTTCGCAGTCGCCTGTGACTCCACCAACGCAGCACGCTTCCTCTTCTTCACCCTATCAGCCCATCTATTGCACTGCTCCAATCTCTCCAAGCTGCTCTTCGGCCACAACTTGTGCATATCACCTCCCCTGGGCAGCGTATGTGCATCATCCGGCAAGCGTATCCAACCCAGCTTACTCTCGGCAAAAATATGCAGATCGGGCACCATGAGATCCGGGAAATCCAGTGTACCCACCCTCACATCGTACACAGCCTCTTCACCAGGGAAGTTGCTCGTCACCCACATGTGCACCCGACATGTGGAGCATTCCGCATGTACTTCAACGTCCCCGCGCCGATTATTCATCTTGACAAACGCTGGCAGTGTGGACGATATGACTTTGACATTATACATTTCTATCTTGAGGAACAGGCCGAATGCGCTGCCGCTAAAGGCACGGCAGTCGGTGCAGTGACAGGCATAGCAGAAGAGAGGCGAGGTGAGGAGTCGGTAGCGCACTGTGCCGCAGACACAGCCTCCTGTTATTGCTGGGAAGGTTTTGCCTGAGGGCATGATGAGGAGGTGGATGATGGACGTTTACTTAAGAGTAGTAGTGGTGCTGCCTAGGGAAAGGATTATGTCGCTTAACACCATGCAAATAGACGTACATATGTGGGGGTTGCCAGCTCGAGTCATGATGACGTGGGGGTGTGCCAAGAGAGAACTTGCACAAGTCAGGGGTGCTACTAGGCGGAAGGCACCATTCTTTGATGTATTACTTCAAACTGCCTCTTTTCAGTAGCAAAACATATACTACACTCACATCCAGCAGATATACCTCAAATTAGGAATATGGACCACCTATACCCATTGATTCTTTGTGCCGTCTTGCAACCATGCATAATTTCTTGCCAGCTGTACTTCAGTGCTAGCCCCGAAAAGCACCAAAGCGTCTCAATCCCCGCACCAAGCCTAGAGCATCAGGCAGCACTAGAGTTGCCTGCGCTAGCGTAGCAACACCACTCAGCGTACAGGCATAGGGCCATATAACAGCATTGATATAAATTCCGTCAATACCTTGCCATTCATCTCTGTACAGACTCATCATCTGCGTTCGCTTTCAGGACGCTCATCGCCTACGCTCCCACCCAAACATGGCGCACGATACTTCGAACAGTCTCTCAACACCAAAAAATGAATACCCTGGACTTGGACGTCCCCTGAGGATATTAGATAATAGTCGATTCCCTTTTTATCCCATAGGCGCCCACGTCGATTGTACCGGAACTGAGTCTGAACTCGTGCCTGTGCGAGAGCTTGCCATGATGGATGTCATGGAAAAGCTGACTGACAAGGAAAACTGGCATCGGAAAGTTTTCGACGAAGATATTGTAGCAAAGTGGCGCAAAGAAGCCCTTGCAGTCCCGGACGCCGACTTCTGGACCTTGGCAACCTACGCGAAGTTACAGATGTGGCCCAACGACGATGGGCCACCCGTCTTTGAGAACCCGAGTTCCCTCGAATGCGGATTAACAAATATCATGGACGAGGCCACTTTCCAGAGTGTGGGTCATCATCATCATTGAATCTAGATCGTCAGCTGACCTTAAAAGTGTATCGAAGAACTTCGCAGCAAAGCAAAGTACTTTGAGCTGACTGGAATCATCCCTACACTCGACGCATCAGCTTCAATTGCCAAATCTGATGTCATTGTGCCTGCCGGCCTCCAGGAAGATCTACGCATTGCATTTGACAAACTCAAAACTGATTGTGCATCTTCCCCGGACTGGCATCCCAACTCGGGCGATATGGTACAGGACTTGGTACATCCTTCAATGTACCCACTTGTTTACGGCCGAAGCCGCGGATTCCGAACAGAGAAAGTCGGTGTGACTGACGCCATCAGGCGTTGGGCTGGCAAGGGAGACATTATCCCTAAACTAGAATCCGATGCTCTCGAAACAGCACTCGCAAACCAGCCATCCTTCCCAAATTACGATTTGTCCACTGACCATCGAATTCCAGCAGAATATTGGTCAGATACATACCAGTGGCTACCAGCCAACGTGGCCTTCGGGGAAGGTGGCAAAGTCAAGTTTACTAGCTATATCAATAACCTTCACCCTACTAAATACCCGGATATCTATCGCATAATCGAGAGATTGATAGAGACATCAATTCCTATGTGGGATCAATGTCTACGGATGGCGACTGACTATGGCGAATGTCAAGGTGCCGGTCGCCTTGCACCACGGGCTGATAGGCCAGAGGATGTCAGGTTAGTCATCAATTGGTGTTCTTTACTTTAGTAATAAACTGACTTGGGATCTTCTGCAGCGATGAGGAAATGCACCTTTGGATTCCTGATAACATTGAGGCTTGTGCTGATGAAGATGTCGACATGAGCGAGCTTGTGGAAAGAGGCTATGACGAAGAATTCTACGCCAGTCGTGAAGAAAGACGCCAAGAGGACTACATGCAATACAAATGGGAGACGCTTCGGAAACCAAAGATACCAGCAATTCCTTTCAAAGAGGTCGATTATGCGCCGAAAGCTGGTCAACTTCTGGCTGAAAGGTTCGCTGCTTCTGGACTGCAGGTCATTGTCAAGATGGCCTCGATCGAACTGACGCCGGAAAAGCCGGAATTTCCAGTTGGCGGATGGCACGTTGAGGGACAGATGAACGAAAAGATATGCGCCACTGCCTTGTATTACTTGGATAGTGATAATATAACTGATGACAACCTCTCATTCCGCATGCAGATCCCCGAGGGCATTGAGGAGGATTTTGAAGTAGGTCAGGATGCATACCACTGGCTGGAGCAGATCTACGGTACCGCATTGGGGTGCGGCAATGGTCCTCGTCTACAAAACTACGGTAGTGTTCAGACGCGTCAGGGACGCCTTTTAGCATTTCCCAATGTCTTGTAAGTGCATACCATGTCGCTAACGAGTTCCCTCAATTCTGACAAATCAAAAAAAATAGCCAGCATCGCGTCTCCTCTTTCAAACTCATTGACCCCACCAAACCCGGCCACCGCCGCTTCATCGCCCTGTGGCTCGTTGATCCTACAAAACGCATCATCTCAACTGCGAACATCCCGCCCCAGCAGATGAGCTGGTACACAGAGTCCATCTTCGGGTCCAGCGAACCAGCCCAACAAGCCACGCTGGAAGAGCTGCCCCCGGATATCGTCGAGCTGCTTGTCGAGCTCGGTTGGCCTGGCCTCACTAACAACCGTGAATGCCGGCTCCCAGAAGAACTCATGGACTTTGTGCGCGCACATCTCAAACAGGACAAGTTTGCGCTGCCGATGACTGTACAAGAGGCGAATGAGCATCGCTTGAAGCTTATGCGTGAGAGGAGTGCTTTTGTCAAGAAGAGTGAGGAGGGGTGGCAGAGGCAGACGTATAGTTTTTGTGAGCATTGATGTCGGTTGGAATGAGATACGGGAGTTGTCAGAGAAGATGGTTGGGATGTAATTAGTGCGCTGGTTTTTTAGAGGATAATAAGGTGTGTAGTCCTTTTGAACAGTGGTATTGGTAGAGTCACGGGATGAGGATCGCAAACAGATGGAATGTAAGTCACATATTCTTAAGGTACTAGCCATGGGTAACTAGCTAGTGATGCTCAATGCCCATCAGATTCGCAAAGGAAATCCACACCTCAAATTGACCATCCTATCTCGCCTTGATCTCACCATATCAATCTGGATTTCGCCTTATCATTATCTCTCGAGGAAAGTGCTGCGATTCCAGTATAAGATCAAGGACACCTTTTACTGGCGTCTTGGTGGTGGGCAATTGAGCTTTGGGTTAGATGGCCCCGTGAGATCCGGGTCACATCCAACCGGCCAGTCCAGAGTCTTGCATCCCTTGCCCTCATGCCACGGCTCGCCAATCTTGAGGTTCTGCTTAAAGCAATTGTCCTCTACACAGAAGACAAAGGGCAAGATCTGCTTCGCGGGCCAGGCCATGGCCTCAGAAAGGGGGTCGCGGAAGTCGGTCCACATCATGGCGTCGACGTCACCCTCAGTGTTGCCCTGACACGTGAAAGTGTTTTTCCCCGTCTTCTTGCTCCATATAAGCTCGACGTTGAGGACACCCTGTATCAGACCGCCGTTGATGGGGAAAGCGAGCTCCACCTTGTCGGCTACGCTGCACAGTAATGTCCGTCGTGACCACGGGAAGTCGTGGAAAAGGCAATTGTTACCCTGCATAGTCATGAGTTCGAAGACGCGGGCGACGATGCGGAACTATTATTGTTTCGTTAGCGTGTCTTCTAGTATTTAACACTCGCTGCAGCATGTGTGTACGTACCCCGAGATCCTGGATCTTTGGGTGATGCTTGATGTCAAAGTACGAGAACTTGACCTTGAGTGCGACGTGCGAGTCTGTCGCCCATTCGCCGTTTTTGGAGTAGACGATTTGCTCGATACGGCAATGGTCGGGACATTCTGGGCGGTCGTCGCTGCAGAAACCGGAGATTGAGGGGTTTTTGTGGGCGATGCCGCAGGCCTTCAAGGCTGAGTACATGCGCTTGAACATGCGGCCTTTGCGGAGTGTGCCGGTGTGAGTTGCGTCTTTGCCGATGCGGACGTCGAATCGGTAGTAGCCGTCGAGGTTAGGAAGTGGCTTCTTCGCGGCGGCAGCACCAGCAGTGGTTGCATTGGAGAGGGAATCATCAGTATCGACCGCCTCTACATAATGTCCAGCGGACCAAGTCTCGTTTTTGCGCGTGGCTTCATTCAATTGGTTGAACCATTCCTGAAGCTGTGAATCGCCAGCGAGTGACTCCCCCAAAGAAGTGCCCCGAATTTGAGGATCAGATGAATTTGAGAGAGGCACACCATTGCTGATAAGAGTGGTGAGAGATGATTCTGGTACTTCTTAGCGAATGATTAAGCCACTTTGTGACATTCTCTTACCCAAGTCCAAGGTAGCTGCGGCGTCTTCCGGGACACTTGCGACAGCAAAAGCTATCAACAGCGCGATGAAGACGAAGGAGCACTTCATTGTGTATGTTTACTAGGTAGTAGACACAATCTTTGGCTGCTTTTGAAAGGAGAGGGTCTTAACGAGCGTGATATCGTGGTTGTGGGTTCAGTTGGGTAGTGGAATACGAAGCGAAACTGAAGGCCGCTGGTAAGGTTTATATAGATCAGGGTACGGTGCGGTGAAAGTGAGAGCGCAGCTAAGGCGAAGCGAGCAAAAAGCCAAAGCGCAAGAGTAGTGAGTGAAAGGAATAGACTAGAGGGCAATACATGATTGGCGAGGCGCAGTAAAGGCAAGCACGATGGAGTCAGAAGAAGGCGTGACAACACCGAGTCCATTATCGAAGACGCGCATGATGATTTGGAGAAGTTGAAGGAGAGGAAGATGCTAATTTGGAATAAAGATATAGAGAGAAATCATGATACCCATGTTCACACGTTGCTACGCAGTGTTATTTCCTCATCAAAATATATGTATACAGCTAGTTGTACGACCAGAGACGATATTAGGCAGTTGAATTTCAGAACGATGCTTATACGATGGTACATAATGAAGCAAATAGTGACTCGTGGCTCCTTGTAGCCTGTTTGCAAGCTGAGGTTATTCAAACGCCGCGCAGTAGTGGTGCGCGACATTGGTCTGAAAGATGTTAATGAAGTGAAAGCAAGACCAAAACGCGGTATTCAAAGGAGAGGGAGGCTCAGTTATTACCTAGGTTCAACGTGTGGTTCTCAATTGTTGAATCCGCTCGGCATGAATTGCATGTAACCATCTTTTGGATCGGTGGTTATGCAGGCTCAATGACAAGTCTGCTTGGTCGACAACACTGGTTATGCCAACAACCATTAGGCTTTGACCCACTTCCCATGTCACACCGTGTACATCCTCTCCTCACATATGAAATCGCTAATCGCCAATAGCACGCGGTGCGTATCTGTATTACCCATGCTTACAACTTATATCCGTCGCAGTTATTCCCGGCGGGGAAATGGTCACGCTCTTATGCGGGGGACGACCGGCAACGCGACTACCTACGAACCAAACACTCGTTTACCACACTTATTATGTCTACCACCTATCTTCTGTCCCGTCCACTGCTTCGAGCTTTTAGTCCCTTCAAGTTCCGGCGCGCACCTACTTCATTGTACTCCAATCGATGCCTGGTCACGTCTTCCAATCCACACGGCACATCAGTGGCAACAGGGGTAGTACGTGTCGACCATGCGGAGGAAATCGACAACCAGACAGTCGCTGCTATGGGTCGCACCAAAGCAGGCAAATCATTGAAAGTACGCAAGTATCCGACCTTTACAAGGCTCGAGGATGAGCGTCTATACCGCAAACAGCACCTTGCCGCTGCTTATCGGGTCTTTGCTTCTCGCGGTTTTGACGAAGGAGTCGCAGGACATATAAGTGTCCGCGATCCTATCATGACCGACCATTTCTGGCTCAACCCGCTCTCCACCCATTTTTCCTTGATGCGCGTCTCGGATTTGATCTTGGTCAACGAAGAAGGCGAGGTAGTTGAAGGTGACCAACCCATCAATGCGGCCGCATTTGCTATTCACAGCGCAATACACAAGCGACGGCCAGAAGTACATGCTGCATGTCACGCTCATAGCGTACACGGAAAAGCATTTAGTGCTTTTGGAAGAGAGCTGGACATGATTACACAAGACAGCGTGCGTTTTTACAACAGTCACAGTGTATACAACCAGTTCGGTGGCATCGTATTGGCAAGTGAAGAAGGCGAAAGAATCGCTGATGCGCTAGGTGTGTTTTCCTAAAAAATCTACTGTGCTGACACCGTTGACAACGAACAGGTGACGGAAAAGCAGCCATACTACAGAATCACGGTATACTCACTGTAGGAAAATCAGTTGACGAAGCAGCCTTTTGGTTTTTGTCCCTCGATAAAACCTGCCAGGCGCAACTTCTAGTGGACGCAGCCGCAGCCGGAAATGGGCACAAGCCAAAGATCATACCGGAAAGCGAAGCAGCTGAAACATACAAACAAGTGGGCACACCTGAGAAGGGATGGCTGGCTTTCCAGAGTTACTACGATGAGATTCTTGCAAGGACTAACGGCGAATTTTTGGAATAAACCAGGTTGATTAAGTTGTTCTAATTCTACTGTATTCTATTGCTGTCCAGTCAACTGATTACTCATTAGTTGTTCTTCGAACCAATTCATTTTCCAGCTCCGCCTTCTCCTCAACTGTCAACTCGCTCTTTGCCTTGCCAATCTTGACACCGAAAAACATGATGACGAGGGCCGCCGCCGCAATGCCTGTAGCAAGCCAAAAGGCGACTTTGTAGCTCTCTCTCTTGCCCCTCTCTTTTGTCTCGCTCACTGCTAGATCAGCAAGTGACAAGAACACTGCTATGCCTAGAAATAGAATAGAGTTCATGAAAGAGCCTGCAAGGCCTTGACGCGCTTTTGGTAGCGATGTGGTAATGAAGATGTTTGCCACATTGTAAGTAATGTCGATGCCGAGAGTAGCACATATCATGGCGGTGAAGATCCAGGCCCAGAAATTGAACTGTGCAGGAAGGATCGCGAAGAGAAGAGTGGAGAGAATGAATGCCACTCCACTGATAATAAGTAGGATACGACCGGGCAATAGGTGTAGAACCAGTCCGCCGATGGTAGCTAGGATCAAGCCACCGATGCACATGGGCGTGAACCATGCGGCAGTGAGGAGTGAGCTCGCGCCGACAACGTCTTTTATATAGAAACTAGCATAGAAGATGAATATGCCAAAGTTTCCGTACTGGAAAAAGAGAGCCAGTCCAAGGGGTTTCATGCCCTTGACCTTGAACAGATCACTGGGGAGGAGAGGCTGCTCAGCTACCCAGCCTTCGATGTAAACGAAGGCACCGAGGAAGATCCAGCCTAAGATGAATGTTACAGGGATGTACGGAGTTGCCCAGCCTTGTGGGGCATGGCTCCCGTCTGTAAGTGCGAAGATTATCAGGACAAGCCCCGGAACTACAGTTGCGGTGCCCCACCAATCCATCTTGACAACATTGACTGGTGCCTCGACCTTTTCATTGGCCTCGACCTTATGTTTAGGTATGCAGAAATACGACGTTACGCTTACAGCGACGAGGATGATGGTACCGATCCAGAAGAACCAGCCCCACGATGCGAGTTGTGCAGAGATGCCCGCGAAGAAAATGCCAGTAAAGAAACCAACAGGGGCGAATGCACCATACAGGCTAAAAACAAGATTCTTTCTTGGACCAGGACGATATATGGAGCCCAACAGCATGATGCCAGATGGAAGGAATGCTGCAGGACCAAATCCTTGCAATGCCCGACACATAATCAACATGATGTAGTTCTGTGAGAAGCCGGCAATAAGGGACCAAATGATGAACCAGACAAGACCGACATTGAAGACTAGGTAACCTCCGAAAATGTCACCCAGTCGGCCAAAGGGCAAGAGAAACGCTCCTGTGACGAGAGAAAAGACGGAAGCGGGCCATGTTTGTGCCTTGGTGGGGATGTCGAGCTCTCGAGCGAGGTCGGGCAGGAGAATGGTAAACCCAGAGATCATGTATTCGGACATGAACATGGAGCCCAAAAGGGCGAAACAGAAGCCCAGCTCCTGAAGAAAAGTGCCAAATGCTTGTGGGCGCTCGCGACCTAGGCGTTCGATATCGGATTCGCTGTATGAAACTCGGCGGGGCATATTGATGCCTTCTTCGGCCTTTTCTAGCGTTATTGGTGGCGCGAAGTCTTTCGAGTTTGGAGGTGCTGGTGTAAAGTTGCCATGGTCCAAGGTGGGTTGGCTTGTTGGAAGCGTTGGCGTTGTCATGCTTGAACTGTGCAAGACGCGTACGGTGGCCAGAGAAGTGTTCTCGTGGCGACACTTGTCAGAAGTAAGTGATGGAGAAGCACAAAAAACTCTTCTGATGTCCGATAATTATATGACTCCTTCCATTGCTTTTCAATACCTTGAGTTTGACCGGACTTCACAAAGCCCGTGGACGATGTGGTAACGAGAAAGAAAGGCATTTTCTAAGCAGCGGCCTAATGTAGAATGTACAGCCGAAGCACAACGTTAAACGCCAGCGGTGTATCTGACGTAGATGAATTAAGCCGTGACGAGGTGGACCCTTTGCCGCAGAACGTGTGTCTTGGCTGCTGATTGGAGTTTAGTGTGGTGGTGGAACGTGGACGTAGAAAACACTCAGATCACGACTTTGCCATAGATGAAAGGGATGTGATTGGTCCACTGCAGTTTCTCGCTACGTAATGAGTAAAGACGGAGGCTGACGTGACGAAAAGCGCCGCTGCCGCCAAGCCCAAAGCCGTTAGCTCCGTCGCGCCACTGTTTCCCCAGGCCACATCCACCACGAGCAGAACATATCCACCCCGCGCCGTACCCCGTAGAACTCAATTCAGTCAATCACCAGCACATCTTGCATGGCTCCCATCCAATGAGCACAACGCACCTAAATCTGCCGACCAAATCTTGTCATAATTGCCGAAAGCGACGTTGGAGATGCGATCGGTCTCTACCAAGCTGCCAGAAATGTCTATCAGCAGGAACCGAATGCCTGGGTTATGGGAAGTTGTTTGTATGGAACCGCGGTGTCGCCAGTCGCGGCAAGATGATGGGAAAATGCTACGAGGAAAAGATGGAGCAGCACCACATGGCACACGCAAATCCGCCTGAAGCATCAGCCAAGGCCCAGGGCATGTCGGCCTTGGTATGGGACAACCAGGGCCCTTCTCAGCAACAAGACGAGCAGCAACAAATGTCACCAATATCGGGGTCTAGTCATGAGCTAGTTTCCGGACATTCGGTAATAGACGATTACCGAATGTCCATACAAGGACGGCAGATGGATTCGGGCAACGAACGGGAGATGATTTCGGATGTTCATCGAGCATTGACAGACCCTCTGCTCAATGATCTTGACCGAAACTCACGATACTATCTCTATCATTTCGCAACTCAGCTGTGTGAGGTCATGGTCGTCTACGATGGGCCTGGCCAGAACCCTATTCGTGATCTCATACCGGCAACATCTGCCTATCCGTTGCTTTTGCAGATCATTGTCGCCAATTCCGCCTTCCATGTCTTCAACATCAGCAGCAACCCCATGAGCCAATCCTCCTACCAGGAGCAACAGAGTCCAACTGTCATGGCCTATTACCAAGCTGTAAGCCGTTTTGGGGGCCCGCTCAAATCCTCTTACCGAGATTCTCTTGTAGCAAAACAGCAGGCGCTGTCGTTGCTTGCAAAGAGCATCACCTCCGTGAACACTGCTAATATTGATTTTATACTGATGACGATCTTATTGTTCGTCAACTACGCCCTTGTAGAATCCGGTCGAGATAAATGGAAAGTCCACATGGACGGTGCTCTCAAGCTCATCCAGCTACTCGGCAAGCCGCCGTATTTTCAACGCCCGATGAGCAGACTTCGCCAAACTATACTTTCAGACCTCTTGGTATTTCACATTCTTGGTTCAACTTTCAGCTTCACGACGCTGCCTGCACTAATTCCAGACACGATTGAACTTGACCCTATCCTCCGTTACGCCGAGACGAACAACTATCTCTCTTGCCCCGGGCCGCTACTTCGTATCATGTTGGAGTCTTTTGCGCTACCAGACTCTCACGGTTCCCCTTCCGGAACCAATACCCCCATTTACATTGAGGAGCAGGTGGGTGTCTTGCTGCGGCGTGCCCTTGAATTTGACCCAATTGTATGGTCATCTGATTTTGTACCTGCATCACCCTTCGAAGACATTCAACAACGTATCCGCATCGCCTCTGCGCATCGTTCGGCCGTTTGTATCTATCTCGCACGTGTCTTGCCCTCTACAAATCCTCTTCTCGACCCAACAAGCGGTACCGCTATTGTCAGTCTTACAGCTTTGGCCGACGACGTGGTTCATCACATTTCGCACCTGAAGCCGGGAGATGCACTGTTCAAGTCAATCTGTTGGCCGTTGTTCTTGGCTGGCGCAGAGTCAGAAGACTCTGCCCAACGCGAGTGGATCATGAACACCCTTGACGAGCTATATGGTCTCATGTTCTGGGGCTACCTGCGTACATCCAAGCGCGTGCTGGAAGCGATATGGAAGTTCAAAGATGAAGCCGGGCCTGGTTCAGGGAACTGCTGGGTGGAACAGCTTAAAGACTTTGGTCACGATATTTTAATTGCCTGATCATGTCAGTCGTAATGCTGTCAAACGACGAAAATATTGATGTCAGCAACCAGGGTAGCAGCTGTGCATCCGCATACTAAAACAATTGGGCCGATACCTTTATGAAGCAACGTCATCGCACCAGAGCTTAACTGCCATAAGGGGGAAGAGAGTTATGGCTCTAACCTTCAATGTAGATGCAACATCGATGAAGCGCGCATTTTCGTGAGTAGTGTGGTGTTGGTAGGCCAGCAGGCGGGCCGTTGGCAAGGTTGTTGGACAGGCTCCAATAGCGATGGTGTTTGCGGATCCCCCGTAAATTAGCAATCGTGTTGTTGGTGTCAGCCGGCGTCCAAAGCAAGAAGGCGCATCGCCGAGTGGGGTAATGTCGCACTAGTTGGTCGTCTCGTGGATGATCGTCCAAGCTCTGGACCTAACAGAAAAGCGATAGCTGCCTTACTAGGTGTGCATCCAACGCCTTATTGACACAAACGGGCACGTGCCTCGATTTTCTATACATATATCATCTGCTAGGGAGTTTACTGAAGGTGTAGACTTCTACACAATCTCAGATGCCCTTGAAGATGCCTCATGATCATGCTTTCTTGCTACGCCAGCACAGCGTATCCAATGTGCATACATTCATCATCCTTACATCGCTACTTTTTTCGACAAATTTGGCGCATCTAACAAGCCCGCCTGGCACATGGGTATCCCGCAACATCCAACCCCTCCTGGAAGCACTATCGCCAAAGCGAGACTGGCAGGGTCTGGGTCCTCAAATGTCTCGGCCGCTTCAAGTGCCTGTGAGCATGACCAAGAAGTGAGATTCGATCAATTTCATTTTCTAGTTTTCATATGTGTTACAGAGTGTACTTTTTCGGTTGGCAAGGCATACGTTGTTTTTGTTTCATGACCAGATCCCTTGAGCCACCAAGTTTACAGACTGTTACGTCTTCGAAAAGGAATTCTGGTCCAGCCTATTTTTGTCTTCAATTCACAAACCTGGCAAACCATATTGGACGAGAAGCTATTGGACCATGGATCGGATCTCGGATAAGGTTTTTTGGCTGCTATTCTCAGGTTTGAGAACCGATCGATCAATTGTCAGACATCACGCACAGACGATGCTGCTTTTCCCCTATGGTTGTATCATTACAACGAGCCGCCCCTTGACACGAACAATGGAACGTTTACAAGCCATACGAAAGAATTACGCTGATGTCGACGCTGCCATCCGCGGTCATGAACTACTGCTTATGCCCCAACCCAAGCGATTTCCAGTTTGCGGGCAGCGTCTCAAATGTGATTTAGTTATTCCCAAGTCTTCTAATTTCAGTAACCTATTATCAGCTGTATCTTTACAATGTTTTCTTACCGCCATCTATATCAATTACTATTCATTCTTACAGCAATTTCTAACGCACATAGCGACAGTGAAAAACATATCGACCCAGGATCCCGCGCCAAGCTCGCTCTGTCAGCTCTCCAGACATGGTATAATGAGACCACAGGCCTCTGGGAAACGACAGGATGGTGGAACGCAGGAAATATCGTCGCAACGTTTGGTGATTACGCAAAGGCGTTTCCCGAGGACGCAGACTTGCAGGCTCTAACGAGGGATGTTTTCTCGAATGCACTTGCTCGTGCACCAATCATGAACCCTCAACCGGGCTACGAAGATGAACCATCGAACAGTACAACTGACAATCAAGATGGTTCTATGCATGTTGAAAGCGGATATATGAAGGAACTTGATCCGATAACCTACGAGCCCCGTTGCAAGTTCCCGCCGAATTGGAAAGATGGGACTAAGAACATTTCAAGTGCAGAGGCTGAACATCATATTGAGAGTCCAGACCCACACGACTGGCTTGACGGCTTCTACGATGACGATCTTTGGTGGGCGCTGGCTTGGATCAATGCTTATGATGTTACCAACCACCAACCGTATCTTGACCTTGCCGAAGGCATCTTTCTCGCAGTAGCAAAGACATGGGGCGCTTATTGCGATGGCGGTATATACTGGAGCTGGAAAAAGAACTACGTTAATGCCATCGCGAATGAACTCTTCCTCAGCACTGCAGCGCATCTAGCGAATCGGGTCGAGCATAAGAAAGAGACATACCTTGATTGGGCGATGAAGAGTCACGATTGGTTCTTCGAGAGCGGAATGATCAACATCAACGGTACCGTCAACGATGGCTTGACAGAAGACTGTGAGAACAATAACAAGACGATCTGGTCATACAACCAAGGCGTGATACTCGGCGGCCTCGTCGAACTCCAGCGCGCCGACTCTCCATCGGAAACTAACTTTCTTGAGGCTGCACACCGTATTGCGCGAGCAGCTATTTCTGCGCTCTCGGGTTCCAATGGAGTCATTCACGATGCCTGTGAGCCAGAATGTGGTCTTGATGGTGGGCAGTTCAAGGGCGCCTTTATGCGAAACCTGGTCCGGCTACAGCAAGCATATCCAGACGACATGTTTTCCGCGACGATTCACGTAAATGCGCAATCGATCTGGAAGAAGAACAGGGAAATGGATGAAGGGCTTCCGTTCTTCGGTGTGGACTGGGACGGCCCATTTGTCGATCCCGCGGATGCTAGTTCGCAGAGCAGCGCCATGGACGCGCTAGTTGGTGCTGTAGTCACGGGGTTTCAATATTGACAACGATGGGACTTAGTTACGACGAAATGCTTTCTCTTTTTGTAGCGACTTTTAATGATCGATTGTCTATTTTTGCTCCTCCCCCTTTTCAATTACGATTTCCTTTGCACCATTCAAAAAATCAAACTTGCCTACATCCACACCCTTCATCCTGAGAATGCCATATGCAGTTGTCATGTGGAACCTAATATCGTAATTAGCAAATACTGTCCTAGTCTCTCCCACAAACCGTCTCTGTCTCATCTCAGAAGTCTAATTTACTTACCACATATTCGGATGCGCAAACTTGTACACATAATCTACGGCTGGCAATCTTATCTGCGAGCCATTATGGAACTTCATCAGCACCTCATTCGCCTCCTTACCCTCAAAATCAGCAGGCTTGAACTTCTCAAGGTACTTGAGCGTCTTCTCGATGCGAGCCTCCAGTTCCTCGAACGTCTGTTCGTCGTCTGGCAGCGTAATGGTTTCGAGCGCTGGGTTGATGCGGGGCGGCATGAACTTGACGGCGTCGGTCAAGCGGTAGATTTGGAACCGGAAGTCTTTCATATCAGGGTGTAGGGTTGCAGTGAGAAGGGTTTCGGGGTCGATGTTATTGGAGAGGGCGTGTTCGTGGCCCTTTTTTATGAAGGCGCGAGCGTTTTTCATGGCGCTGATGGCGGGCGAGATGGCCATGGTATAGAAGGTTAGAGAAGACATGTTTGTGAGTAAAGACGAAGAGTGTGTCTGGAGTATGGAGAGAGAGAGAGGTGGAGAGGGAGATGCTACTGACTTTGCGAGCTAGCAAGAGGTATTTAAGTATGCCTCCTTCTCTCTCGCACCCGCACCCGCAAAACGACTCACCGGTCGGTCGGCCGATCGACCCGAGCAACCACGTTGCAACTGTTTTCGCAGCCTCCACCCTACAACTTGATTCGGTGTGAATGAGACGCGATAATTGCTACAGCTGGAGATCTGGATTACAAAGCTGGTGGGCCTGATGGTGTAGAGATGGGCGCTCAGCCAATCGGAGCCCGGAGCGATGTGCCGGGAAAACGCAACTGGAGAGCCGCTACTGCAGGGCAGATAGAAGTAGCCTGACGTGGTACTTGATTACAAACATGATAGTTGTATCATCGTGAGGTTACGCGAGGCGGGTGATTGTATGTACCGAGTGTCAAGATGGTAGAGCAGTGCCGTGCGGTTTGGTCCCTCTGGGGCGTTGATGAGGTGTACAGTGGAGGCCTGGCACGAAGCTATTGCGGGTTTTGTCAGTTTCAAGGCAGAACTTCGTATCTACTGTAGTATTTTTTGGCATGTTTTCGAGGGATTTGAGACATCGTAAGGCAGATGCGGTGTAGGCATTTGTCATCCAAAAGGACCCGGCTGATACTTTGGGGTGCCACAAAAGTAATTTAAAAAAATTGTTGTCACAGTTGCTTGTTGTACTCAGCATTTCGATATCGATTGGCTTAACTCTAATCGTCTTGAACACATCTCCGTGTCAAGAAAAGTCTCACAATATTTTACGTCACGCAGCTGGTTTAGATATGGTTATGGAAGTTCAAAGACTGTAGCACGGCATTTGTATAAACCAGAACTCGATTTCTCTTCTTGAGAATCTAGGTAATATCCTTCGCTAGACTGAGCTGGCAAAAGCATAACGCAACTGGTGCAAGTCCGAATACTGCTTACCAAGCGCACCTGGCATCATTACTTTTCTTTCGAACTTTACTCTAAGTAAGTCTAGAGCATGATTTCACGATTTATATACGGATATAAAGATCACCCGAATTGCCACTTCCAAGGGCTATTTCCTCCACAATAGCGATATGAGCTTTTCCTGCTGTCAATGCGCATATTTGGTAAAGTTTGCAGACTGGTATGGGCCACTTAAATACTCCATTAGATCTTCACTTAAATGAGAGAAATATGCAGTAGTGATATGATGTATTGCTCGATCAACCAAATACTTATTGTAGTAGTACTCCAATATAATATGGTTGGTCCTATTATAGCCTCTCATAGTTATTTAATGTATTCTCTACACGCAAAGCGAAAAAAGTACCTGCTTCATGAGAAAGCTTTCATTCTGATAAAACATCATACTCTCGAAAGTTGTGGCAGATTTTTCCGCTTATTCTCTCGTGACCAAGAACTCACTCTCTAAGAAACTTCGATTCTGTAAGTCAGGGAGACCACTCATATTCTTCATCATCATCTGCGTCCAAGTAGTGCGAAATGCATGTAGCGGGATACACATCCTTAACTTAGCGAAGAGATGATCGATCATTCGACGTAGGGTACTTTCTAAGACTAATGCTACGGGTGACTGTAAGTAGTATATTGGACACTTTGCGGCTGAGACTACTTACGTATGCAGTCTGCGCTAAACCGAAAAAGACGATGCACTCACCTACATTCGTGCTGTACCTCATTCCATCACGCTGTGATTTCTACTACATATCACTATAATCAGGCGGATCTTGTCTTGACTAAGTCCGCTTTCCGCTTGGCAAGCCACCCTGGTAGCCACGTCTCAAGATCCGTCGCTGCCGATCAAGTGTCGGGACCTCTTTCCTCCATTCGCACGTCCGTAAATGTCGCAGTCTCACGCGGCTCACCCTACTACTCAATTCTTTTACACTCACACCCCTATCCCTACACTATTCCCAATGTATCTCGACACACCATAGCATATGGTGAAAAATCCTAGAGCGCTAGATTCCATGGATAGCCAAGTTCCTGAGAATCCCCTGAGGACGGCTCCTCCTGTTCGCCCGAAGAAAGACCGACAAGATGGCGCCCTTAATCGCCTGAACACATCAAGCCTTCCACAGTTGTTGGACATGGACAACAGACCGACGTTTGTGCTTGATATGGAAAATCGTGTCCATGAAAATCAACTAACGGTGCGACCGATATTCTGCAATGCTGCGTTGAGGAGGCAGGAGCAACTATTTCTCAAGGTCATTGGCTCTGCACGGGAAGATCCCGAAGATAGCGACCGCGGCGCAAATTACGAAGAATTTAGAATTTGGGCAACAACTATCAGTACATTTCGAGATTCTAGAGACATCTTTCCATTGACGATCGAGTACGCCAAATTTATATGGACCGTTTTCTGTATTCAGCCCAACTGGAGAGTGATCACCGGCCATCCGGTCTTTCGCAACGAAGATATTCCAGGAGGGGGTCCACTGTCGGCATCTGCACCCGAGTCTGAGAAGAAATGGCATGGTGTTCGGGTGAGAGACGACAAGAAAACTTCGGCTTCTGCTGCAGCTATCTCGACATATGACATAGTCGAGAATGTTGAACAATCTGAACTTCCACAAAAAAGCATCAGTTCAGAGCAAGAAAAACGTCGCACATCAAACGTCTCCGCCGTCACCCTGGCAGCACTTGAATCTCCCGTACCCGACTGGACAGCTGCGAACCCCAAAGGCGTTCTTTCAGAGCATTTAACATTCGTAAGAAGTATTGACTGGTCAAAGACGCCCTTGGGCGCTATGAATACATGGACGATTCAATTCCGAGAAATCGTTTGCTTAGTCATGCGAAATCCCCATCCGTCATCTGTTTTCTGGGGTGAGGACTTGACCATGCTCTATAATGAGTCTCATAGAGATATCATTGCGGGCAACAAACATCCTGCTTTGATGGGTACTGGCTTTTCAGGCCCTTTTCACGAAATGTGGGATTCAGTTCGCGCTACGATGCGCGAAAGTGCTCGAACCGGTCAGGCTCAGCTCAACCTCAATCAAATATTACCAATCATACGGCATGGCTATCTGGAAGAGGCATTCTTCACGTGGTCTTTTGTGGGCATCCACACCCTGACTTAATCGTTTGTGTCGCTTACATGACTTTAGGTTCCAGTTTTTGGCGGTACTGACCTCATTCTTGGTTGTAAGTATTGTTGCAATAACTCACCATACAATATCATCGAGGTCAAATGGATACAATGGTATTGGCATTAAGTGCGCAAAAAACCACAGATATATCAACCCAGTTTTCATTGAGCGAACATCATTGGACATGAAATATCTTACTAATTTATAATTGGAATCTAGTCTATATGAATGCATTTGATACGACTGTCGAATCGCTCAGAAGCAGAAGAATGGAGTTATTACGCTACCTGGGTGAGCGCCTGAACGCAACACGCACTGTAAAAGAGTTTTGGGGCAGGGTGCTGGACGGTCTGGCTCACAACGACTACGACGTGCCTTTCGCACTCTTGTACTCGATTGTTGATACAGAAGAGATCGAACATAGCTCTTTGGAATCGCCTAATACCAGCCAGAGTTACGTAAAGACTTGTATCATTGAAGGATCCATTGGAGTACCAAGAGGACATCAGGCTTGTCCTGAAAGATTTTCCTTGACGGAGAGTGATGATACTCTGATCTCAGCTTTCATTCAAGCGACGCGAATATTGGAGCCGTTGATGTTACATGTGGATAATGGAACACTCCCGCGGTCATTACTTGAGATCGTTGAGTGGAGAGGTTACAAGGATCCCTGCAGGGAAGCGATGATATTACCTCTTCGGCCAACAAACGCGGACAATGTTTGTGCGTTGTTGCTCCTCGGAATCAACCCTCGTAGAGCTTACGACAAAGAGTACGAATCCTTCACGTCCATGCTCAATCGACAGATTGCGACTTCGTTAGCGTCAGTTCTTCTTTTTGAAGACGAGGTACGGCGAAGCAAGCGTGCAGCTGAAGTCGCTGCCTTACAGCGGGAGGAACTCTCTCAGCAACTCCAACTCCAGACCAGTCGGATGCGCCGAATGACCGAATTTTCGCCTTTGGGTATGTGTTTGTTTGACGCCGAGGGGCACTTATTGGAGGCAAATGACCGTTACTTTGAGATGACCGGAGTATCTCATGATACCATTGGAAACTTCATGCCCGACGAGGTGATGGCAGAGCAAAGCTTAGAGGCTTCAAAGAATATGTGGGATGGTAAGTGACATCTGTAAATTACCTCTGCTCTATGAGGTACGCTAACGAATCGTCAACAACTAGACTTGATAAGAACCCACAAGCCGACAAGTCGGGAGCTTCAATATGCACATCCCAAGTTTCAAGCAAAAGACATTGACGGCGAACCCATCGACTATTGGGTTCTTGCGTCTTGTCAGCCGGAGCTAAGTCCAGACGGTGAACTGATAAGCGTTATGGGCACCGTTACGGATATATCGCACCTAAAATGGGCCCAAGGTCTCCAGGAACGAAGAATACGAGAAGCAGAAGAGGCAAAGCGCCAGCAAAACGAGTTTATTGATATTACCTCGCACGAAATGCGCAATCCATTGTCGGCAATTCTGATATCCGCCGACGACATCGGAGATACTCTCAGTGTCCATCAATTCTCATGTGATGAGGATAGAAACGTTGCAAAAAGTTGCATCGAAGCTGCGAATAATATCGCTCTTTGTGTTCAGCATCAGAAGTCGATCGTCGATGACATCCTTACCGTATCGAAACTAGACTCCAACCTTTTGCGCATGACTCCCATCCCTTCACAACCTGTCGCTGTCATTGAGCGTGCCCTTTCTATGTTAGTGAACTTCTTCTCCACTTCTCCCTGAATATGCTCCAAATTATTGACACTGTATTTAGGCTTCGTCCCGAAGTAGTGGCCAAAAATATCAACCTTGAATTCAAGCCGCACTCAAGCCTGCAAGAACTGGACATCGATTGGGTGATGCTCGATTCTGGCCGTCTGCTACAGATCATCGTGAATCTCATGACCAATGCGATCAAGTTCACTCAAGATCGGCCAACACGCTCCATTGTTATCCAAATTCGCGCACAAGCCGAAAAACCAGATTTTGAACTTCCCAATGGCTTTGAGTTTGTCCCACAACGAATGAAACTTACTGATTGTGGCAACGGAGATGACTGGGGCACCGGTTCGCCGGTCTTCCTCTTGTTCCAGGTTCAAGATAGTGGCTGCGGACTTACACCGGGACAGAAAAAGCTCTTGTTTGAGAAGTTCGCCCAGGCATCACCGCGCACACACGGAAAGTATGGCGGTAGTGGCCTTGGGCTCTTCATCTCGCGACAGCTAGCCGAACTGCATGGTGGACAGATTGGTTGTACCTCGGAAGCAGGCGTCGGCAGTACATTCGGGTTCTATCTAAAGAGCAGAAGAATGACGTCTGAAGACTGCCGTCTGCTCGAAGAACGCGCAAGAAGGTCACCTAATACCGAAATCCCCGCATACTGTTTGCGCAACACCCTGCAAGCATTTTCTAGAATTCACAACAATCCCAGCGAGCAAACCAACAAACCGACCCAGCAACTCCACGTCCTCGTCGTAGAAGACAACCAACTCAACCAAAAGGTCCTCTGCAAACAACTCACAAAAGCAGGCTGCGTAACCGCCACCGCCGACAACGGCGTGCACGCCCTCGACCACATTGCCAAAACTCAGTTCTGCACTCCAAACGGCATACCGCTTTCCATGGTCCTTATGGACTGCGAGATGCCCGAAATGGACGGGCTCACGTGCAGTAGGAAGATACGCGAGATGGAGCAGCGCGGGCAAGTGGTTAGGCATGTACCGATTATTGCCGTCACGGCGAATATTCGGTGCGGCCAGATTGATGAGGCGAGGGCGTCGGGCATGGATGATGTGATTGGGAAGCCGTTTCGTATACCGGAGTTGCTGGAGAAGATGAGGGCTTTGTTGGAGAGACTTGAAGGGGAGCAGAGTGTGCAAAGTTGATATTCCATTGGGTGTACCTTTTTTTTCGGGGGGATTGCATTAGAATTGCCTATCTTGGCTTCTTGTTCTCTTGACGTGCTTACCTACCAAGTCAAGGCCTGGGGCTTCGTCGAATTCAACCGAACGTTTTGGTGATTTCTTAGAGTTTTTCGAGTTGATTGACAGGGAAAGACGATGTGCAGAAGTTATACTGTTTTCCATATTCGCAGCGGCAATGGTGAGGTGACAAGTGAAATCAGCACTCAGAATCCATTACAGTGGACGGCAAAGTAAACATATATCTTGTGAAGTTTTTCATATTCATTTCTTCATGCTACAAAGACAATCCCCATCATTAATCATCGCATTGGAACTCTCACAACTCCATCACGCCAATCCGTGCATCGCTCAACTTAGTCCACTCCTCAACCCTTTACTTCGTCGATGGATTCGGGCTGATAGTGTTGTCTGGGAACTTGCGGAAGATATCGGCAATGTGGTCAATGGGGGCGGCCAGCATGCCCATCGGGCCCTCAAAGAGCGGGTTCTCGCCAGCGCTAGGATGACTCCTCGATGGCACAAACGCCTTTGTGCGTCCAAAGTTCTTGGCCAGACTCTCCGACGCACCCTTGTTGTCGGGCTTCGCTAGTGCGTTCTCAAGAGCAGGTAAGTCGTCGGCTTCCTCCTCCTTGATGTGCTGGCCGAGGATGCCCCAGAGTTCCTTGAGCTTGGGGACGTAGGCGGAGTCGGTG